AAAGTTTAATGATACTATGAACTTATGTCCATTCAAAACCCTCTAAGTAGTACCCATTACTCAACATATAGTCACATTCTGATTATGCAGTTTATTGAAGTGAGCTACAGAAAAGAAGTGTGGATGTGGTGGTAGAATGAACATCAGTGCCCCTTCCAGGATTTGAACCTTGTTGTCTACATGGTTCACTTTGGTGATTGAACTATTCCAGGTGCTTCACTATCATGTTTTTTGAGAAATTAATTATATATTCTGTTACCATTATTGACAAATTACATGCTAGGTAAATACAGAGAAAACAAAGCTTGTTACCTCTATTCCAAAGAGTCTGCCCTGTCTTTAGGAGACATCTAGTTCAAATACCTGAACCAGATGACCCAATTGAAGATTTAATCTAATTCCCTCATAATTAAAAATGTGTTTGATCAGTGGTTGTCAACCTATCCATATTCACAGACTAGTAAAACAGCTGTAGATTTTCTGATAATGAATATCAATTGCACAGTAAAAACAATAGTCTACGAATCTAAATATGGCAAATAAAAGCGATAATTTGCAATATAATTATAACCTTCATTTAGCACAATTATCCCTTGTTTCACGAATTTTCAATACAAAGAAGCTCTTACCTTTGTATATAATTTTTCTGTAAAGGCAGAGAACATACACAAAATGGGCTGAAGTAGGGAGAAGCAGATATCCCCACCCATGCACATCTCACACCTTCCCAATCTGACTGTGCACCTTGTGTTTACGCAGAATTAACTGCACTCTTGATAAGATCTAAAAGTTTGTGATGATGGTAAATTGTTACAATTAATATCCATCATCTTGTCTGTTCTAAAAAAAAATGTCTAGTTTCTATTAAAAAACTTTTAATAGTTTTTTAATAGAAACTAGACTTTTTTTTTTTTTAGAACAGACAAGATGATGGATAATGTCCAGCAACATATTAATTGTACCCTTGATACTTACATTTCACCTATAAGGATGTATTATTTGTGCTCATTATCACTCCCAAATGAGTGAAAGTGATTGTAAGAGGCACTGATAATCCAATGAAAGTAAGAAAAGCAATAAGTTTGGCTACAAGGTGGAAATAGTAAAAAATGATCAAAGAAGAGAGCAATCCAAAGACATGTACTGCTATGAATTTTTCAGCTTCAACAGTGTGTATCATCTTTGTATGGAAAGAAACAGTCAAGGAGATGACAGAATATTTGTTTTTCTGGACATAGTCATGTGACTGAGAGGCTTTGTTCCTATGATAATGAAGCTGCATTGTTGCATTGCATCAGCTATGAGAAAGTAAACACGAATGAAATAATTCTGTTTTACTTGCAACAATAAATATCACGAACATGTTAATACCATACTCATTTACTATTAAAACACATGTTAAAAATGTTCATGGATTTTCCTGGGACCCTTGAACAAGTCAGTGACTTTATTTGCAAAGTACTGGGAATATGATTTCTGATTTACGAATTTTCACCTTACACAGTTTTCATGGCAAGAATTAGGGCTGTAAATTGGGAGATGTCTGTGTTAAATGAAGATACATTATCCACAGTGAACATCCTGACAATGGCATATGAAATAATATCTCAGATGTATCCATCTTCCAATGATAGTTTATAATATGGCTTTGCCTTCCTACTTCTTAGAGATGCAGTAGCAGGCTTTGAATAGCCATGTCCTTTTTCGCAAAGTGTAGCTGACCAGACCATTACATGCCACAAAATTGACGGAGGACAGCCGGTCAGATTATTAGATGTCATAAAAGGGAGGGAAGACAAAAACAGTAATGTTCAGCACAAATTATTTGGTCACTAAAAGCGAAATGTTGCCATTTATAAAACCATGAACTGACAAATGTAGTGTAAGCACAAGCCTGCAGATGCCAGTGATCAGCATGTCGATCTTCAAGGTGAGTCTTCTGACTGGATTGCGGGTTTGGTGTTCCTCTTGGGATGAAATAAGAATAAGACTCTCTTGCACTCATGTCCAGCAACTTGAACATGTCAAGCGAAATTTTGAATCGTTTATTTTGCTGCACCAGCATGATACAATGCTATAGCAATTCAATATCGTCAGATCCAAACAGTCTCTTATAGTTCTTCTCTGATTGATTCATGTTGTTGCAAAAATGCAGAAATCTCAGTATATGAGCAAGCTGATAGTACAGTATTTCCTCATTTTACTAGTGCACAGAGCTGTTCAAGAATGGACCACTAATCTCTCATTACACTCCAGACATCATATCCCATTTCTAGAGTTCACTCATGTCAGGAATTCACTGTCAAGTGTTTCTACAGGCTGTATGGAATCACTTTTGTGAATAAGAGAGAGATGGCAACTGATTTAGAATATATGTTCACACAAGATGCCTCTTGTATCCTGAATTCACTGCGACATCTAATGAAAGAACAAATACCACCAGAATTTCAAGGGGTTCGTGGTCTTGGAATTACTCGTACCATCTGCTGCTAGTTGACTTGAGCAAGCTCATTTTCATTGTGGCATGAGAATGCTTCATCACAGTCACTTTCCAAAACTAGCTTTCTTTAAATATCTTTATTTCTGAAATACTGTCATTGTAACATACACAAAAAAATCCATATTCTGTTGATAGTAGGTTTGCCTCGCATAAGAAGGCTGTGCAGTTAGTGCCACTGCTTCAAGAAACTTCCAATGGCAGCCTACCACACATCCTCAATTCCACCCCCATCTCCCATTCAGAAACTCATGAGATCAGTTTGATTTATTTATTTATTACTGTATTTCTCTTAGACTTACTTGTGATTCATACAGGTGAAGCTATCTCAAAGCTGACAAAACCTTAAGTAATATGAATGGCATGATCAAGTGACTGAAAGTTAATTCTTGCCGGACTATCAGTGATCCTCCTAGCGTCCACATCTATAAATAACTCACAGCAAGAAAGCATAATGGAAATCCATGTATAGCACTAGACACAATTCCATACCACAGCACCACAGAATAGCCAGAATGCTAATACTGCAATGCACAGCTGATTAAGATAATCTTCACACCAGATGGAAGTGAGTGGTCAAGTTCACACTTTTCCTCTCAGGAAAAAAGAGCCTCCAGAACACACTGGACAGAACACTCAGCAGACCCCAGACCCATTACAGGTTCCTACTTAGCTTGTTTCATACACAAAATGGGAAACTTTTGTGGGAGGGGAGATAGCATGACTGAGCAGTTGAAATCAAGTTTGGTGAAGTGACAAAACATGTTAGTCTAACTACACGTCTGCAAAGATCCATGGAAACAACAAGTCTATCTACACAGATCAGTTAAAATTGCTAATGGAGTTAGTAAGTGATGGCTGAGGGAGGGATGGTCAATTCTTCATTTACCACTCTTCAGCGTCATAATGAAATGAATGTGGAAGTGAAATCATGGCTTGTCCCAACAACAAAATCCCACACAGAAGAGGTGATCTCCTGGCCACAGTTCAACAGAAAATCCTTACAATATGAAACATAACTGCAAATCACATTAAATACTTTATAGTCTCAAAAAATAACTTCTACTCTTAATCAACATGCCAAAAAAATTCTCTTATGTAAGTCTCCTTTCTCACATTATGACCTTACCCTTTTTTATGGTTAAATTCTACAGTAAAGTCTTATTTTACTTCAACCGCTTCAATCTGTAAAGTTCAGCTAGCAAGAGTTAAAATTAATAATTGGAAGCTTCACTGGTTAATTTCTGTATATACTGTACAATTTTCATTAATACAAATTACTGCTATGTTAAATCTGCCATATATAACATGGAATGTTTGCACCACTGCCATCTTCACAATCATTAGTATATTAAAGAAGTATTTCACACATAAAGTCATTGTTATGTTTATACAGTTTCATATGCCAAACTCCAGTAGGTCATTAATTATAAAACAAGGAAAGCTGATCACGAAGTATATACATGTGTTTTCTGCATTATTTATTATTTATCACCTGTGCTACTTTGATATCAACTTTTATTTGCATCTTTCAAAATATGAAGTAGCCTGAAAGAGAAAATTGTTTATTGTCTCGTCTGTTGTTTAGCCCCATGACCGAAAGGTGAAATCAATGAGTCTGAAAAGGTCTTTACTGTAGAAATGTTTTCCCCTTCACGTGGGAAATGGTGCAATAGCAGACGTAATTTGAAAGTGGTTATGTGAGGGTATGAATTTGACTTCAGCGCACAACTACCAGCCAAGCATATGGGAGAATGCAATGGTTCTCAACAAGATGGTGGCCTGTGCAGCCACAGCAGCCCAGGAAGTGTTATGGTAGGTTTTCCTTGTGGGGCCTACCTTATTTTGAGACGAACCAATTCCCCTATCTATCATCCTACCAGTTCCTACCTGTGGGTGACTTCTATGAAAAATTATTCTATGGTCTGATAGTGACAGCTCTACAGAACCTCCATGAAAATATCACATGTACTGAATAGCACACCAATGACACTATTCAAAGCATGTAGAAAATTTTAATTCATGACCTGAAGTGTGTCTTCAACAAAATGTCTCCCCCCTCAAGCATGTCCTGTAAAACTAATTTATTGTGGTAATGAAAGTATTCAGTGTTGCTTTATATTTTGAGATCCTTTATACCAGGCCATACTGTACAAACAAGACCATGGACACATGATCTATCAGAAGTAAGTCAATGCTGCGCACTGTCCCTTCAATTTCCGCACATCTTCTTCAGCTCATTACTACATTCTTACTCTGTCCTGTTCTCCTTACACAAGGTTTGTGAGTACAAAATGAATATGAAAATAAGAGCATTGTTTATGATATATCTGTATCTCTGTATGATTTGAGGCTCTCACAGTGCTGGTTATGAGGAGTTCTATTTTCTGGGATACAACACTGTGAAGTCCACTTAAAGTCAACCAGTGTTTCAGAGGACATGTCACTTCCATCTTCAGGGTTGATGAATGAGACAAGTAAGAAACCAGTGTGAAGCAGGCAGCAATGGAAACAACACATTCCTCTGAAATTTTTGTCGACTTTCAACATACTACATGGCATTATAGCCCAGAAGATAGATCTCTGTATCAACATCTCTTTTTGTCTGAAGTTATCAAAGTCACAAGCTGTCACTACAATTTCATTTCTTCTCTTCAGCACTGATCCCGTACTTTGTTTTCATCTTGTCAATTTCTTCTTTCTTTTTATCAATATCAATCCTCTTGAATGCTTTGTTAGACTGTAAAAAATAAACACAATTAAGTACAAATAATCTCAAATGATCACAGCTACATGTTATATTCTAAATCTAATAAAGCAGAAGGAAAATATCACAACGGTCAATCCTTTTCATGTTCAACTGTTGAAACAGATTTTTCAATAATTAAAAAAAAAAAAATTGTATCTTTATGAGAGATTCTCATTCACCAGTATATATTTCAAACTTCTTTGTCACCATCAGAAGGGACAAGCATAATGTCATATTTAAACAAAGTTCTACTACTGCATAGCAATGAGGTGGAATCAGCTGTTATTTTAACACATACAAAGTTTTTAAGCAAGATCTGTCTTGTAAACTGTACAACACATTTCCCATAAAAATATAAGACATAAACTTATAACAAATGTAATCCTGGGCATCATACATCATTATCAAAACCCTGTAAAATCTACTTCATCTGAGCATCAACAAAGCACAGGCTGTCCTTCACCCTAAGTCCCTGACTAGCTCTTTTACATCAGTAAACTGGACACTTCCTGTCACCAGACAAATGCACACTGTTGCAGTTGATGTAGTGGGATGGGCTGGGACAAGGAGCCTCACCATGGATACTACTGCTCCAATTGTGCATACACGTACACACTCCCCTGCGTGCAATACCTTTATCACATGTACCCAAACTGATGATACTGGAAACATCATGCAGTGTTCTGAATGCAGGGATAGACTGACACTCACTCATGCTCAGACTCTACAGTGCTGGGAAGGGTTGGGACTATGAATGTTGGAAATATTATTCCAAGAAGAAATGTTTTGCTGCCTATATATAAAATGAAGGACCTCCCAAAGTGATGATTACACCTACATCACCAAATTTACCAGTATAAATTCCACTTAAAATACCACTATAATAAAAATGACACAGAAAACAAAACTTTGGAGGGAATGTATACACATGTGTAAGTCAAAGTATCTCTTGAATAATCTATGGTAATTATTACGAGTATTATGTTTTTGGACATTATCTATCATCCTGTCCATTTTCTAAAAGCCGTCCTCTTTATTTTTCAAATCACAACGTTTTGGAGACTGGATTCTGTCCGTCCTCAGGTAAAACGTACTCAGTTGGGTCCAATAAATAGAGCTAGTCCCTATCTCTGGACCTATGGAGATAGGGACTAACTCTTATCTACTGGACCCAACTGAATAGGTTTTACCTGAGGACGGGGATAGAATCCAGTCTCCGAAACGTTGTGTTTTGAAAAATAGACAGGATGGTAGATAATGTCCAAAAACATAATACTTGTAGCAATGTACCATCATCACAAACTTTTAGATCCTATGGTAATATTTTTGAAGAGTGCCCAAGAAATGAGCAGTGCAAATGGTTTCACCTGAATTACACATAAACTAAAACAGAAACAGAACAAAACTTACCTGGTAATACAAAACAACAAGGTACCGATTACAAACATTAAAGCCAGATAAATGATCACAAGCATTCTTAGCGTCAAATATATCTTCATATACAACAAATGCTGTTCCTCTTGTTTCAGGAGTGTTGCCACTGAAAATAAGAGCAACCAGAGCAACCATGTCACATACTTTTTTAAACAAACATGTTCTTCATTTATTACAGTATTTGAATATAGGCTCAGAACTGCCAAGTGACTCACACTCTTATCTGTCTTATAGCTCCGTACTTCCCAAATATGTCATACATTTCTTCAGCAGTTATCTTGTATGGAAGGTTACGGATATATAATATTCTGTTGACTTCTGGTGGAAGTCTCACCTGGAATAAAATGACACATACACTTATTAGGGGCTAGTTACTGAGCCAACAGGTGGGCTATCTCGACACAAAATATATCATCACTCGCAATCCACCAAATGTCACAACAATAAGACACTGTGCACTACCAATTTGTAGGTTATAACCAGTTCCACAATTACACAATGCCAAATAAATACATTTTATAACTAACTACTTGCATGCTTACATTTGTTCGCCGTTGCATCATAGCCATTTTCGTAAATAAATTGGTATCTTACTGTTATATTTTAGAAAATATGTAAGAACAAACAGCAAGAAACACTTTCATTCCAAGCTTACAACCAACGTTCATCAAGACTTCGATCACGGATCCACTGAAATATGACGTCGGTAGAAATGAGCAAAGGTTAATCGTCACCACTGGTCACCACGACCAATACCTATCGAATCTTCATCACAGAGAAGACTCGGATCCTTCAATGTGGGTCACAGTCACACAAGCCCCAACCAGGACAAGCTGGAGACGCTTTTGGAGGGTTGGGGCGAAAACTATGCTGGATATTTTCAGAGCAGTGCTTAAAACTTCTTACTTCGCGACCAAACATATTAAATGCACTAAACACTGCAACCCAAGGAATATATCAGCAATAACCTGTTGCGTTTGACATTTCTGCTCCCCCCCCCCCCTTCACGATTAACATTGGTGATACGAACGCTTAATTTAGCTTTATGTTATTACCGTCCTGTCGGCTGATATCTAATCGAAATTTTACATGATATTCGGTGCCGGTTCCATTATTGATCTTAAGGTATCCTGGAGATTGGAGTCAGAAGCATCACTTTGTTGTTTCGTAAAATGTCTATTTTAAAAACCTTCAAATATTCCTGATATTTTGCTGGTGCGGCACCGTTTGGTTGGTGGTTCTGGTTTCATCAGTTATTTCTTTGCTGCTTTAAACTGGTTTCTATTAATGCCAACAATAAATGATTTATGTTGAAAGGGGAACCTGCTTCATATTTTGATTAAAAGATAAACTGATATTGTGCCATTTTATAAATTGCAAGCAGGGCAGTATATACCACCTGGTCCAACAGGCCTTTTTAACGATGTTAATTCCAGTGCCATATCAATAATGCTATATTTTAAAACAAACTCCGGAAACTAAATGGTGAAAATTTATGCTTATTATTGGTTCCATAAACACAATTTCTGTATGAATTGAATAAATTTACATCATTTTTTTTTAAATGGCCATCATCTGGTGATTTCCTCTACAATGTGCAATAATTTTTTTTAAGGGCATCTGGATTGACTACCTACTTCTGAAGAGCTACTTAACTAGCAATTGTAAATCACTGTGGCCTGGATTTATTTCTGGATGACAATAATCATGTAGTTGAGTTTGGATATGTACACAAAATAATAATTATAGCACATTCATTCTGTTTATAAATATTTTTCAAACTGAAGGTCATGAACCATCAGTGGGTTTTATGAAGTAATTAAATAGGTCATGGCTTGAATTACTGTAATGTAAACAAATAAGCATAATTTTCTGTCTCCATATATATATATATACACATACACACACACATTAATAGTGCCATTCAGTTGCTGTCATTTAAATAAAAATCCACATGATAAAACTAAATTAAATTCCAGTTATTTTGAAAGGGACATTATTAGTGTCCCCCACCATTATTTGGTTCTTCTGTTCAAATATTTTCATTTGATTGTCTCTATTGGAATATTTTCATTTAGTTTGGTTGTTATCATTCAAATAAAACTGAATTTCACTTGATAGTTACTCAACAATGTGTAATATGAGGTACATTATCACTGAAGACATTGTAAGGATTATGTAGAGATAAAGTCATGGTAGTGGTGTGTCCCAGTCCTGGAGGTGCTGATGTACTGGGCCAAGCCATAAGGGAGGTACACCATGCCCATGGCACTCCCTTTTCCACAAAATTAATGTAATGTTCTAGTGCTGCAATGCAGGATATATCAGATACTAAGCTGACTAGAACACATATATAGGTACAGGTCCTATGGAAGGACATCACAGAGTTTTGATGAAGAATATTCCATGCAACAGAAAAGCAGAATTTCCTTTGATTCATTTCTTTAGTCTTCATATTTCCTAATACATGAAGAGTGCTATGTTCTAGGATATAATGCTGTGTAGTCTGCTGAAATTCAACCGACATTTTGGAGGAACATATCGCCTCCATCTTCAGGATCCAATAATTCTTTGATGTGCTTACCACCAGCCTTCACACTGGTATCTTGGAGGGTGGGTCTAACAGGTTGAAGTTGATTGGCCAGATGAACATGTTTACGGCTTTAAAGTGATGTCCCCTTCATAAAACAATGGCACTGAAGAGTGGTAATTTAAGCTTGAAATGTTTTTACATGTCTCAGAACATTCTCAGGCTGGCATTTACACAAAAAGACATGAAGCTAAAACAGGAATAGAATTACAAATGCTACAAGTATAAAAATAACAGGTATTTCTTCACACTGTTAAATGAACATCAATTAATGTGTAATGAGTATTTCACTTTATTACAACATAATTATTTTATCAATAGTAAACATCAATCCATATCAATATGGTAGCAGCATTAAGATATTGGATACCAACTGGAAGGATGGCTGCACATACACTTCAGCTACATTAAAATTTTTCAATTTGTGTTACAACTTGGTGGGAATTTTCAATAGTTAAAACACTGGTACTTATACAGTGACATTACTTTGTGCCATTTTTATCCTCTTATTGGGAATATTCCAGGTTACAAACATATCAGTAAAGTTCTGCATAGGTTTCAAATTATGTTGAATGTGATTATCATCACAAAGGTGAAGGTAAGACTGGAATGAAATTATACAAATATGCAGCAAACTTGTAGACTGGATTGAACAGAGAGTCAAACTTTGTTGAAAGCTGCAATGTCCACACTTTGTACCTGAAAGAATACAAAATGTTTTTTAATAAACCACCTACCATAAAGCCATGTGCTCAGTATGCAAAGTAGGATATATGATATAAACTCCGTCCTAAGTGAAACAATTTATTGTAGGTCTTTCGTCTTGCTTTCTCTTACACTATATGTTTCGGCCGCAAACGGCCATCATCAGGTGTATACACTTACGTAGCTGTTACACTGCACTTAGTTTAAAATTTAAAACGCTGGTCTTCCCAATTGTTCCCTTCGTCGTTGGTAACAGAATCTACTTCGCTGATATCTGTCTGATTCGTACATTATCTTTGTTACCTACACACGACAATTTTGACTTTCATGAACTGGCACTATTAAATCTTGGAACTGAAGATTTCTGCAGAAATGGCTTCCATCTCTGACTGGATGGCAGTTATCAGTTTGAGAACTGTGAACGTTTTTTTGAAACACCCTATCCTTCAAGTATACTCACAGAAAATAATCACATGGGTTTCAGTCCAGTGAGGTTGGTGGTCATGAAAATTCTTCCTCAAATAGTACAGGACACTAATTTAACACAACTTTCTCCTTGAAAATGTCATGAAGAAAGTGCAGCGCAGCACTATTGGAGGTCTGGCATTTCCTTGATGAAACCAGGTTGAATTCACTGGCATGCCATATTCCATCAGGAAAGGAAGAGATTCAGCACTCAGCAAACTGAAGTAAACAGAAGCGATTGTACGTACCATCAATGAACACAGCACCAATTAATATTTCAATGCTCTAAACTGCACACCATATAGTAACTCTGGATGTGGTGAGTTGGCAATGGTAAGCCTTGAAGTTCTGAGGCTCAAGTCATTTTGCTTGTCAATGTAACCATCCAAATGAAAGTGTGCATTGACGAAGATCCATGCGACACTGAGGACACCCAGACTGTCCCGCACTAGTGTTCAGTATTACCTTGAAAAAGCATAATGTCTCACTATTCTGTCTTCCAACAGTGGCTGACTCAGCTGCATTTTGTATGGAAACAAGAAGTCATGATAGATCAACCATGCACTGCTGGTTGAGACCCAATCTGTTGTGCTAAACACTGCACCCTTTCCTTGAACTTCATGTTACTGCCTCCCTGACTGCACTGGCATCTTTTTCCATGTAAGCAGACACACTACACTTATGTCCCTCCACACATATACCACACGAACACTTCCCGTTTCCTCAAACTGTTCGACAATCTGGTAGATAGTGTTTCTTGATGGTCTAACATGAACAGAAAACTTAGGATCATACATCTCTCCACAGCAACACAAGAACCACCAGAAAAAGTAACAGGTTTTGATAAGAAACACTTTCTGATCTGTCATATACAACACTATCTTGTTATTCAGATAAGCATTGCCAAGGACAACAAACAAATTCATAAAGGTGTACAATAATCTGTGGAAGTTTCATATAGTGGTCTTCTACAACAAAGGAGTTATACCAATTTCAGAGCTTAAAATGTTAATAATGGTTAATAATGTTATAATAATATAATATAATATAATAATATAATAAATATAATAATAATGTTAATAACAACAACAACCATTGTATATGGTAAAGGTAAAGATGTTCCTATGCCTAGCACCATATCATAATGACATACTGGTAGAGTTATATTCATTTACCTATAAAACCAAATGTTTCTTACATTTAATTTCTTTGCTTTAGACTATTTCAGAACAAACAACCTGATATTACAGAGCTCTATATACACAGCAGAACAGTTCTGTGTATAATAGCATACAGAAGAACTGTTCAAACCATACCAGTGAAAGGGTTAATATGGAAATCAGAATGTACCCTTGTATATATTTGAAATTTTACCCCACGATTAAAACTTTAAAAAGTTCAAAATCTGCATACTTTGTGACTTCTTATATACAGTGCAGTTCAAAGGACATGATATTGTTCAGACAACTGCTACGGTTATTGGCCGGCATAGAGGAACTGATCGTTGCATGCACACATTCATCTGTGTATGCAGTTTAGTAGCCAGGGAGAAGTGGCTGATGAATCAATACATGTTTACAGTATTTCTCATGGTGACTAGCAATGAAGTTTTCTCAGGCAAGTGACTGTGTCAACAGAGTAAAGTTTATTCCAGAGACTCTCATTAACTTGGCTATTAACATGTTACAATAATGCAGACCTGTTCCAGACCATTCAGCTACGTCAGAAGAAGAGTGACTGCTTTATTCTACTTATTCCACTATGCATACACGTGTGTATATCACCTATTCATATCACATCACTCTCTGATAACAGAGACAAAAGTCTCTGAAAAGCCTAATTTGTGATTTGCATCAATTTAGTTGATAGCCAGAGAAGACTTCATCACCCCCTTATCATTGTAAACTGTACTTACATAATCTTCAATTGCCTCCAAAGTTTCTTGCAACCAATCCACAGACACTTTATCATCTTCAACAACACACAATATTTGAAGCTTGTGAATACCATATGCTAATGGAACAAGCTTAGCTGCAAAACACAAAGTTACACAATCACTGTTCTGGATAAACTTAAAACTATTTACAATGATGGATGTAAAATCAGCTGCTGCACAGGTGAATGCACTCCAATAGTAACAAGTCTCAAAACGTTTTCCAAAATACAGTGAAGTCCCAATTTAACTATACTCTTATATTTCGACACTATGGAAACAAACTACAACTCCACCTGATTTCACATACTACTCACAAACAATAAGTTCTGAGAAGGTCTTACATGCCTACTTTTCTTCAAGTGGTTCAGGATACATGGTACGGCTTGCAACAATTATAAATTAATAATTATACAACTCAATGATCCCCTTCTGTGCATAATTTCCAGAAGTACAGATTTGTCTATGTTAAAATTGCCACATACAGTACAGCTTGCACTTAGATATTTGTAAAAGCGGCCTCCGTAGTCTAGAGGTAATGTTCCCACCTCATGACTCGTAGTACGCGGGTTCAAATACCCGGTGGAGGTCGTCGAATTTTTAAGGGCGGAAAAATTCAGGGAACAAGTCCTCCGGGAGGGACTTGAAGCCGTGGATCCCATGTCGTAGCTCTACGGCACGTAAAAGAACCTCATACCTCCAAAGGAGGTCACTGAGCCAAAATTGCAGACGTTTGCCACCCAACAGCAGTCACTAATACCTCCGGCAGATGGGGGAAGCATTATAGATACTTCTCAGCTAGTAGAGCCGGTCTCGCTGGCTGGGCGGGACTGATGGTAAGCATCAATACCAGTAGGATATAGAGGCTGGTAGAAATCATAGAGGGAAGCACAATGGACCACTACAGGTCTAAGTGCATGGGGAAACCCACCCTCTCTAATAACTAACTAACTAACTAACTAGATATTTGTAATAGGCAACATGTAAATGCATACTTCACACAGAATATGCAACAAAATTTACAATACATATATTATCATATGACCGCCTCTGTGGCCTAGTGATCAGAGTTCCTGGCTACAGATCCAGAGGTCCCAAATTCGATTCCTGGCTCTACCAGATCTTCTGAGAAGTAGTGGGCCTGGAACAGGGTCCACTCAGCCTCACGAGGATAAATGAGGAGCTATTTCAAGGAAATAGCGGCTTTGGTCTAGAAAACCACTATTAACGGCCGTGGCGATCCGCTGCGCTGACCACATGACACCCTCTATCCACAAAAGTTGGCACTAACTTTGCCGACAAGCGACGGTCGCTCGGTCAGTATAGTTCACATGCGGACTACAGACCACGGAGTTTTATCATATATTACACATGCCTATCTCCAATGGTTCCCTTTATCACTTGGGAGGAGGGGTTTTTAAATCCCCCTGTACTTCCGGGCTGGTGGCCGAATTTTAACTCACATGTAATGGTACTGGTACTGATAGAAATACACAGCCAATAATGGTTAAGTGGCAATAGGTTACCCTGATATCAAAAGACTAAATCACTTTCATGTTGGTTTTATTTAGAGTGTAAAAGTGGGGTTGTCTCTAGTGACACGATGCTTCATTAAATCTACCAAGTGGCTCATAAGGTATCAGCAGGGGAGGGGGAGAGGGTGATGAGACAGGAATATGATCATACTGTAAACTGATTTCCATTTATAATTATGGAAAATAACATAAAAAGACAGTTATTTTATTTTGCATTATCTTATGTTAACAGGAGACTATAAGTGAAAGAAACACTGCACCTTGTATTGTAAAACTGAAATATCCAGACAGTAGTTAGCTGTACAACAAATGCCACTTAGAGACAATAAGAAAACCAAAGATCATCAAGAATTAAGGCTAGGCACGGCAATTTACACACAGCATCTCGATCAATGGATGGTTGATGTCTCTCTGGGGGGTTCAAGTAATAACAGCACCCCTCCATAAACTCGAATGGGCTTGGCTATAGTGGTGGGTGCCCTTGGCTGTAACTTCCAGGAAAGTCATATAAATCAGACATAAACCATGCTTTATAAGAAATTCAAATTATGCTTCACTGATCTCGAAAATGACTCATTACATACAATAGATATCATTACAACCTGTATTTGTGGTATGGTGAATATGTACAAAAATACAAGGAAAAGTAACTACTGACTCTGGGTAGTGTCAATAGCTTTGCAACAGTATATCTGTATTACAATGTATGCGAAATCACTATGATACTAATACTTTACTTTCCTCTATAGTGCTGAATAAAATCTATCAGTATATATTTAATAACTTATGACATTTCAAGTTATACTGTAAAAATACTTGAACTTAACTGAATTAGTGAATATATAATATTCATCCAAAATGTGAATGTCCTACAAGTGGTGATGATTATGCCAACTGATAGCGAAATAAAGAAAATTGCTGAAGTAAAATGAGTTCAGTCATCAGTCAGTATATCAGTGGAATTACAAATTATGACATGCAGCAGATCTGTATCAGTGATAAATGAACATAAAAGCCAATGAGGTATACAGAATTGAAAAGAAAGCATCTTGTACTTACAAGCTCCCCACAGAAGTCCATCTATACTAACAGCTCGTACAGCTTCCTCCAATAATTTCATATCTGTCTCATCATCCCATGGCTTTACATCAAGAATTATATTAGATTTGGGAATAAAGGCAGGCTCTGAAATAAAAACCTTACATAAACCACAAGGTAAATTTGTTACTCTTTCAGCTATATAAAGTTTAACATTTCCATGTGATCACTTAGTAGAATGACCAGTTTTGCTACTGTATAAACATTATCTTTAGATGGTAAGTGCTTTCAAACAATGTGTTGGGCCATATAGATTGTGCCACAAAAATTTCTTATTATATCATACTGCTGCCAACAGATTATTGTGGCGACACCCTTGCGACAAATTTATTATTACAAAAGCGGGGGTGAAGCACCCAAATTTCTTATTCTTATTCCAACGCTACCACCATCAAAATTTAGAAAATCCTACCTAACTGCCATCAGTTCAACATCTGTGGATAGCTTCTATTCCTCCAAACGAATTATTTATTACTAATACCCCCAGAAAAACCAAATAAACACTAAACATATGAAAACAAGAGCATATATAATTAAATCAACATTTACATACATACATACAGCCTATTAACCCACATAATCTGTGATTACACACCTTGCAGTAAACTCGTAAACCTTACTGTACCTATTCTACTAAACCTGCATGGTGTAAACCAAATTTCTGTACTCTGAAGTCAGTAAACCAAAATTATCATGTAATAACAGCGAACTAAATTCACATTGTAACCATCACTCGCTTACCAAAATTTATATCTTAACAATAAATCAAATTTTGTATGCTAACCACTAATTAGTGACCCAAATTTCATTTCTTAACATCAATAAACCATATTTCCTATAGTAACACTCACTCAACAAGTCAAAATTGGTATTTTCAAACAAGCAACCAGTGAATCAAATGTTACGTCCTAAGCTTAATTACTGAACCAAATTCTTGGATCTTACTCATCACTTGATAAATCAAAATTTGTACATTCTCATAATAACTCAATAAATAAAAAATTACTCTTTAACAATCCATGAACCAAAGTTTATACACTAAATTCTTTTGACCAATTTTTATTCTGAAAATCTGTTACCAAACCAAAATCATTGAACCAGAATTATATACTGACAACCATCAGTGATCCGAACACAGGCAAATTACTAACACTTACAGAAGTGGCTGACAATGAACACATCTGACGCCATCTCATCTCCTTCCCGCCACACGTCTGTGCAGAGTGACTCTTAAAATCAGAGTGTTCGCGGCTCCTCCTGTCCGAGCCCCTCAAAATTCAACATCACGAAAAGCTGCTCGCGTAAAACTTGTGTGGTGGCGAGACTTGCCTTGTGTTGTCACTTAATTTGTCAGCAATTTCTATAGACTCTACAAATGACACTGGATGGCTAAAGAATGTACGGAGCCTTAACTCTGGCTTCCAGCGGTTTCCAACTTGTGGTTCACCTGACATATTTCAATTTATTTTCTAATAAATAAAACATAAATTTGACCCCTTGTTGGTTAAAGCATACCCATTAATAACCTGGGGCACAACAAATGTGTTATAGTATTATTATGTTTTAGAGTGACTATAGATTGGGTTTGGATTGGTAATCAGTTTTACTGGACATTTATTGAACATAATTAAAATAACTGTGACAGTCTCATTGAGTTACACACTCCAAAGATCATAAAGTCTTCTCAGTCTTCCCTAGCCATTGTTCAGTAGCCGCTTCCAACGGCAGATGTTCCCTTACTCTGCATTCCCAAATTGTCCCTGGCCTCAGCTACAGCAACTCTCGTGTGACTCACTCGTCAACCACTTTTCACTTCACTCAACTCAATGGACTAACTACAGCTCCCACATGTCCTGCTTATAACATTTCAGCATGGACTGCACAGAAAACACCATTCCTCATTTTGTAGTTTAATTGTTGCTGTGGGAACATGTTTGTTTGTGAAGCTGTTTCTCATTAACAGCTGTTGTATATTTGTTTATCTCATGGTCGTTGCCCAGCAACAGGTCTACATGTTACAGTATCATTATAATAGATAATGTTCACACCAAAAGAACTTTTTAACTATGAAGAGTAATATCTTCTGGGATGTGACACCCGGTGGTCTGGTAGAAGTTCACCTTCTGCCTGCTGGGCTTCTATTGGATTACACTGCGTTACATCCCAAAAAACTGTATTCTTCATGGACACTGCTGTGAGAATCTAAACTCCAATAAGAACCTTGAACTAACTGTCTAGGTTTGAAAGCTGTAGGTTCAACACTAATATCAAAGCTTTCCACTGGAAATAATATAAGCCAGCTGAATCAACTCATATGCATACAATTAGTTTCACTGAAATTCATCTTAATATTATCTTCCATGTGGACACTTTCAAGAGGTTTCCTATCCAAATTTCAATATCAGTTTAATGTCTTCTCATCTAAGCGTCGTAACTTCCTACATTTCACTCGCTTAATACTAGGTGACCTGCATAAAACCACAAATGTTCTAGTTATGAAATATCCAAAACTGTTCAACATTTCTCTCCCATTTAGTTCAAATATTTTCCTGTGTATTTCAAACAAGACATCACATTTCAAAACCACACAAAAGATTTTGTATGTCTCACCAGCATATGCTGTGAACATAATCATTAAAATATATATATGACAATATTTTCTTGGCATGTTGATGATCCAGTCCCTGTTAATGTTATATACAGTGTGAACAGACCTTAAATATTAATATCAGAATACTTGCTTTTGGCTTTCCTGGCTGTGTATGCTGTTAGCCGGGCTTCCTTAAGTTTTTTGGCATCATCACTCTCTTCCTGTGAAAGGAAAAACCAATCAAAACCGAGACCTACATGTCTTCATTATTGCAATCCTGTATCTTAGACATCTTGCATTATTAATTTATTTAATTAAAACACTGAAAGAAGTCTCCTGTCCCACACCTTTCACTCAGCTGGGGGGAGAAGGAACTACTAAATTAGTTCATGCAACTAAATGAGACTAATAAACAAAAAGAGAACTTGCCTTTGTGTCTTCATACAATCTAAACATCTACATTAGAATGGTGAATGGTCAGCCGCCTGCCCTGTTCACTTTATTCCAATGAAAAGAATCCCTGATATTACATGATTTAGGAGATTGGATGGACCCAAGAACTAGTCAGGATGTAGTGGTAAAGATAAAAATGTTTCCCCCATCAAAAACTGAATTTGAATCATCCAGTATTACTCATGATCAAAACAGGTCATTTGTCAAATCAAGAGTCCCCTGTGTTTCTCCTTATCATACACCTTGATTACATTATGGAACACATCTGACCAAACAGTAATATAGTGCATTTCACTGCACAGACCAAACACCTTTTCCTTCTAACATTCTGTAATAAAAATACCTGGTGAGTAATTTAAACTAAGTGACATATTTTCTAAAAAATGGTTACAGAAGATGGTTTATTTTTTTCATTTACACTATTCTTATATTAACTGAAACTGCTTGAATTCTCTAACATAATTTCACTAAGTACTGTAGAATGTTCAACAAAGGAAAACATCAAGCTTCATATCTGCAGAAACATTCTTTGTTCTCAATATCTCAACCGTCATGTGACACTCATCACATCCATTTCACACAGCACAGTTGAGTCTTCAGTCATATTTGCATGGCTGCAAGATCATGCAAGTGGACATGTGCAATACAGCAAAAAGAAACTCTGTGGCCTGTAGTCCACAAGCGAACTATACCAACCGGATGACCGCCAGTTGTTGGCGAAGTTAATGCCAACTTTAGCGGTGAGTGCGTGTCGCATGGTCAGCACAACAGATCCCACGGCCGTTAATCTCGGTTTTCTACACAGGAGCTGCTATTTCCTTGAAACAGCTCCTCAATTATCCTCACGAGGCTGAGTGGACCCCATTCCAGACCCACTACTTCTCAGAAAAACTGGTAGCACCGTGAATCGAACCCAGGATCTCTGACCACTAGACCATAGAGGTGGTCCAACTACAGAAAATAATTCTTGCCAGATATTTCTTCCCTTTGCTCTTCATATTCACACTACGTGCTCGTATCTTTCCAGTTCAGATTTTGAAACATTTTCCTTTGATGTTCTCCATATATAAATACAGAAAGTGGGAGTTACTTCTTAAAAGTCAATACATGAAATTCCATTTATTTACACATGAAACATACCTCAGAATCAGAACCAAACAAATCCACGTTCTCATCTTCATCCACTTCCTTGGGCTTCACGGCTCGAGCTGCTGATGCTGCCTGGTGAACTGAGGTGGCTACTAGCTTTGCATCACAAAGTTTTCCTTGCTTCACGGCTGGAGCTGCTGATGCTGCCTGGCCAACTGAGGCGGCTACTAGCTTTGCATCACAAAGTTTTCCTTCCAAAAGCTTTACATGTGATTCTAATTTGTCAATTCTGGATTCTAATTTCCTGACTACTACTGACATATCATCCACATCTGCAAATCCCAAAGCAGCAAAAGAATTTTAAACAACTTCTTAATGTTGGCCATGAATCAAGTTCTGGTCTCCTTTATTAAAGAGGCCTATAAATCTTTATTAAGACATGAAATTGGATTTAGATGACCAAACAACTGAAATTATAGGATAAAACGAAAAACACAAACATCCATTCTCTGAAAGCATCGAGTTCTTGTAGAAATGTGTCAGCACTCCATGATAAGGGGGAGAGCACTTCTTGTTATTAAGAAAAAACTTTACAATACAAAAAAATGAACATGTTCAATTTCATAGGTGAAAACTACAACAATGGCTGCTTCTTCAATATATTAGAATTTCTGAATTTAAAATGGTACATGGTATGACATACTGTTTACTTCCTGAAGAAGTCCTGACAGACAAGAACTCAACCTGCAATCCCAGTGTTTTAGATATCCAGCGTGTTACATTGCATAGTTGCAGGCTCAGTGTTTCAGTAATTATTATGAAGATATTTGTAGTGTGAAGTTATAAATGAATACTCTATTAGATCTGAGGTTCTAATGGCAATAAGTGTAAAGAGTCACTTCTGGGAGTGACATCAAGCAGAAGTTCACAACCATTTTGAAAGAACATACTGCTTCCATCTTCATCATCAAAGAGTAAGCCAAGCAAGCAGCACACCAAATGTGCTTGCTCCAGTTAATCTATGACCCTGAAGATGAAGGCAGTATATTCCTCCAAAATGGCAGTAAACTACATGATGTCACATACTATAAGACAAGACAGTATTCTTTGAATATTCTCTCCGTTTAAAAAATAAAGTTTTACCTTCTAAAAATGTAACCAAGTAAATTTTGTGTTTGTTTTTCATTTAACAATGTGAGTTTTCATGTTCTTGCACTTTTGCACTTTGCTTTAACAAGGAGAGATAGGTATTAATGGCAGACTACATTAATACACATATAAACTGTTAATGGTAGACTATGTTAAAAACAAGTAAGGTTAAGTTCTCCAGGAGCAAAAAACCATACCCTAAAAGTACAAGGGGAAAGAAGGGATGGAGATAAAGTTCTGAGAATACTTAAGCTTAGCAAAAGATGGAAGTGAAAAGAGAGCTTTACGCTAGAACTGTCTTAATTCCAGGCTAAAAGACTGTAGTTCCCACTAGATACAAGGCCAAGAGGGCCTGAAAGCTAGTCTGGAAGAGAAAACTCCCTGCCCTGCCAAAAATAAACTCATATTGTTCAGCCTTTATGCATATACTTCACTGACTAATATAACCTAGCTCTCTACACACTGCAAGCCAAATTTTTTAACAGAAAGTATAAAATTAGCTTACATTTTTTAAGTACTGCATTGTCTTTCTCTAATGGGTTGATTCTATTAATGACTTCAACATTCGCTGTCGTTGCTAGGGCAGCAATTCCATCCATCTACGAACAAAGATAACACATTATAAATCGGCAATGTATAGTATTCTATAAACACTAATACTATAAAGCATGTGTTAGAATTATAAATTCAAGATAGTGAAGACTCAAGTGAAACTGAAGATGAAGGAGAGTTTAGGTCCCTAGTTAACATTCTATCCAAAATAATTTATAACAAACTTCAATTCATATCATAATGAAGATGAAGTAACGTCTAAAAGCAAACACACAAAATACAAACGAAGCCCACACACCATGCATGACCCAGTCAAGGAACTAAAGAATATGATTACTCACACATTCTAAGGAATTTTTAATATGCTGCCGTGCCTTGGCAACCTCTCCAGCCAAGGAGTTTTTGTTGGGAGTGTTAGGAGATCCCTACACCAAAGAGAAACATAGAAACAGTTATAGAAGTTGATACCATTCCTTTAATTTCAATAAACAAGATGCACATTGTGATTAAATATTAATGTAGTATATTCCCCATTAAACATTTGCTGATTATTCAGTTTGTGGATTTGTATGCTCAGTGCTTCTTCAATTTTCTCCTGCCTTTTAAAATTACACATTGCATATACAGCAGAATGTCAATTATCGAACTGTCAAGTAACTGAATGACCGCAACCAATGAATGCCTCTACTAAACATCATTGTTGAACATTATAATAGTGTTTTTTTCTCTTTGTGGATAAGAATTTAACCAAATTATCCTAATTTTCAATTATCTGAACCACATTTTTCAGTAATTAATTCAGATAACTGATGTTCTACTGTACATGTAAATCATACTTTCACCCCAGTCCCACTCTTCCTCTTCCACGTTCCTACTGGTTCTGTTTTATGTCATCTCCTTACAACAGTGGTACCCAGGAAGCTTTTGTTATGACCCTAAACTGGCCACCAACAGAATGTTCCAGTCCTCACACAACCCTTCGGACACTTTCCAGCATTAATAACAAGTACTGGAGAGACTTTATGACACCAACTTTCCTTAAAATGTTTCAAATTACATGACAAGGCTAGTAATAACTATAAATTAATAATTATCCTAGCCATAAATCTGTGCGCATAATTCAGTCATATAGAATCCAACTGTTGACATGTGAACAAAATTTCATACAGAATATGTAAATAAGTTTGTGATCTGCCTCCATGCAAATTTTCCCACATCTAGCTACAAATGGGTCACACAGAATCAACAGCTAAAAACAAATTTTAACAGACACACCATGGTATTGTTTTCACAAAAGTAACAGTATTAACCATATTATGAATATGTATTGCGAAGTGAAGCATAGCTCCAGGCATCTTAACCTCAGCACCAAAGAGGAGTGGTCAGTATCACAAGTAAAGTGCTCCCAGTGCCCACTGGATAGGCAGCTGGGTGGAAACCACAGCTGTTTTGAATATGGTACTGATGAAAATAAACCTCAATTCTCTGCTCATCCACCTCATTGCCTAGTCACTGTACTGACTGAGCAATCCTGGCTCTAAAATAATCACAATAACAAAAATTGTTCTCTTTTAAAGACATATTACCACAAAACACTTCAAGCCCTTTAAGAAGCACTGGTATCACTTCCATCTCAGAAGTTTTGTGCAGCCAGCATGCTGATATTGTTCATGGTTTATAGCCTCTAGTGACACTGTGGTCTTCCTTAGTTTCATGAATGCTCAATGGATCAAAGGTTATCGGCATAATGACACTATAAGATTATTCTTTCAGTGATCTTCAGTGGTCAAACTGTAGACCCAAGAAACTGATCTGAGCCATGACCACTGTAGTACTTATACTATTACTGTAACATTCCAGTCAAAACCCAGCCTGTGAGCGGCAAACAAGGTAATTTTTGGTTATTTAGATTTTCTCCTCCATTTGTCCAGATAATTGGATGTACACTGCAGTTCCTTCATAGGTTTGCTTTCAAAAGCAGTATATACACTTTAATAGTTTATTATTTAATAAAAATTAAGTTACACTATATTACTGCATCCAAAATATGTAACTAATAATTCCTGCTTCATATTTGAGATTGTCATGCATGTAATGAAAGCAAATTCAAGGCATTCCACTGAAAACAAGAAAGTATTTATCCCAGAAAAAAAATAAATTCACTTATTTAAAGCTGGTACTAAAAATCTGTCCACTATGCCAGGTTACTGAAAAAGGTCACCTCTGTCATAACACATTATACCTTACTGATTAACTGACTTATAGGAGTGATTTATTTTTTACGTAAAACAATCAAGGTTTATAAATATTTTGACCAGACTTCATTACAGACATATTTACATACTGGTAAACATCCATACCATATCCAGTTTCTGCCCTGTAATCAAGATATGTTGCAACTTTTATGTCTTGACACAAATTGACAATACCGAATCTCAATATGTGTAGCTATTTACTTTTTAACAAGATGGCAATCTGTCACATTTCAACACAAAATATTTGTGAAATTTTNATATTACTGCATCCAAAATATGTAACTAATAATTCCTGCTTCATATTTGAGATTGTCATGCATGTAATGAAAGCAAATTCAAGGCATTCCACTGAAAACAAGAAAGTATTTATCCCAGAAAAAAAATAAATTCACTTATTTAAAGCTGGTACTAAAAATCTGTCCACTATGCCAGGTTACTGAAAAAGGTCACCTCTGTCATAACACATTATACCTTACTGATTAACTGACTTATAGGAGTGATTTATTTTTTACGTAAAACAATCAAGGTTTATAAATATTTTGACCAGACTTCATTACAGACATATTTACATACTGGTAAACATCCATACCATATCCAGTTTCTGCCCTGTAATCAAGATATGTTGCAACTTTTATGTCTTGACACAAATTGACAATACCGAATCTCAATATGTGTAGCTATTTACTTTTTAACAAGATGGCAATCTGTCACATTTCAACACAACAGTTTTATGCAAATGAACTGAGTCACAACTTCAGTCAATTACTTATTTTCACCAGAAGCATGATTTAGATCGCTTACAAGAATTCGCTGCAGCCACTGCAACTGTTACTTCTAACAAGCTAAGCCAAGTACATGCATACACATATGTACCTGTATTCCAAACGTGAAACAGTGCCTTGCTAAAGTGTATTGAAAATTATTTACATAATTTTTCATACTTAAAGAATTATATCAGTTTTGGAAGTCAGCCATTTCATGAATCATTGTTCAGCTGCTTAATGAAAATTTAAACTGCGTTAAGTGTGGAATATCAAATAGTAAGATGATTGTGAACGTTGAACTGGAAAGAATGTATGTGGCTGCAGTTATGGCCTACTTAATTATTAATGCATTTGCTTGGAGAAATGAGAAAATTAGGAAAAGTTTTTCAGGTTAGCTGGATTACAGACCATGATTTGATATCCCCCTTCCCCAAATACACAGTAAACTTATCACTCTACTGAAGCGTTTCTTATTCAATTAAACGTAAGCCTTTAAATACAGGCATACTTTCTAATGATATGGTATTATTTTTTTTTCTTGGCACTACAGCCCCAGTGGGCATAGGCCTACCTCCACAAACTTCTCCGTTCACTTCGGTTATGGTATTATTACTGAAGGATAAATTTACTGTGATCAATGCAAAGTGACAGAATATATTACTGAACTAATTAATTAACTGAATTCATTAGCATGCACACAACATACAACATACCATCCACTTTGTCAGCTGTGTAATAGCATGCATTATAAAGTTTCTGATTAATTTTTCCCCATTACGACAAACACCATCATACGAAGCCCAATATTCAGATAGGAGAAGAAGAAAATTCTGATGAACTGTGATACATTCATGCAGTAAGTGATGAGATGGTCAAGTTACATTCTATAAAGGGAAACGTTGACTTACATATTTGCATTTACATTTGGAACATATGCAGTCACTCATTTCCAAGAAGCAGAGATAGAAATGCATGAAGCCAGCAATACATTACAAGCTATTAATGAGATTAAGATTGCATGGAGATGTGCATTCACTGTTCCACATGCCTTCTTTCATGACATGGCACCTAAGAACAGCAGTAGCTTCCCTTTATGTTATTCAAAATCTGTGGTGTATTTCGGCATTGGAAAATACGAGGTTTTTTAAGATTATGGTGCTACAGGAAGTTACACAGGATAGTTTGGCAGATAGATACTATTCAGGTCAAAATTGTGGCTTCCACCTTCAATTGAGGCAGCAAAGTCCTCTGAAATACTGTACACCAAACTATACAGCACCACATTCCTGATGATGATGATTACAATTATGACCACTGTAAGAATTAAAAATCTCACATGACGTCTTTTGATTCCTGTATTTCATCATTCAAAACTCCCATACTCTCATAAATATTAGTAGGAAGAATTATGCAAGAAAATCTGACAGGTTTAAGGTGGAAGTTTTTCAAAGTACTAAATTTACAAAGGTTTTGGAATAATGTACAGCTCAAATCTAATTGCTTTAGATCATGCCAAACTGGCACCACTGCACTCCAGAATACTATATAAATACAAGGGCTATTCAGAAAGTAACCTCTGTTTATATACATCACATAACTGGTCACCTAGTGTTTGTTCTTGTCTTTACAGAGTGACTTATGATGTGTCCTGTGACTGGTAATCCTGAAAACTGCAGTATTCGCACTGTTATCCACTTTCTTCACACTAAAAGTATGAGTGCTGCGGAAATCCATCATGAATTATGTGTGATTTATGACCAAAATGTAATGAGTGAAGGAGCTGTATAATAATGGTGTAGTACGTTCAAAGAAGGGACAACAACTGTTCATGATGAAGAGCGAAGTGGTCGGCCATCTATAGGAAGCGATGATCTTGTTCAAAGTGCTGACCAAAAAATTTGTGAAAGATGGCACTTCCCAATTTCACAACTTTCATGTGAATTTCTACAAATTTCACACCTGTTCTCTACAAGATCATCACAGTTAGACTAGGCAGTCATAAGTTTTGTGCAAGTTGGGTTCTGAAAATGCTCTGGGTTCACATAAAATTCAGAGAAGGGCCTTTGGCTTTGACTTTTTCAGAGCAACACCACAAAAATGGCGATAAACTTCTTAATCACATCATATGAGTAACAGGTGATAAAATCTGAGTTTCAATTGTGAATGTTGAAACCAAAGAGCAGTTAAAGCAGTGAATGTACACATATTCGCCAGAGATGAAAAAGCTTTAACAAATGTCTGCCATAAAGCTGATGGCAACTGTTCTCTGAGACAGGAAAGGAATGTTGATGGTGGAATTCATGCAATCATGGGGGATAATATCAGAAGTGTATTGTGAAACCACCCAAAAAACTACATGGGGTGATTCAGAACAAAAGATGTGGAATGCTGATATCTGTTGTACTTGTACTGTTTCTCCGTGACGTGCACCTGCATACAGCTGCTGCCATTTGAGCAATGCTGGAGCATTTCAACCGGGAGTTGTCTGACCACCCTCCTTACAGCCCTGATCTTTCTCAGAGTGACTATCACCTCAAGAGCTGGTTGGGATCACAGTGCTTCAACAATAATGAGGAGTTTATGAAAGGTGTCAAAACATGGCTGAGCTCACATGTAGCGGACTTCTTTGACACAGCCATACAAAAACTTATTATCAAATACAAGCGCCTCGATTCTGGCGGTGACTATGTTGAGAAGTAGTTTAAGTATGTATGTTTTTTCTGCATATATTGTGACATGTTGCGAAATCTGAGCCCCCCCCCCCACACCAGCAGTGACGCGGTGGGTGAGTCAGCGCTCCCCTCCCACCCCTCAGCGGTAACGTAACGCTCGCGGTAATAGGCGAGTAATCACCCCGCAATGCGCAACGCGCGGTGACGTCACGAGCGGAGCCGAAGAGAGCCGAGCGGAGCCGAAGATAGCCGAGCCCCGTAACCTGGCAACTACGCAATGCTAATCAACAGCGGTGNAGTGTACTAATTGTGATACTGCAGATAGCAGTAATCGTCAGATTGTAATTTGGGTGATTGTAAGTGCGAATGTGAAATAAAATTCGCTACATCGAATACATCGAGAATTTATTTGTCGCGATATACGCCCGATACGCGACAATATTTTTTCCTCATTGCTCGTTTTGTTAACAGCTCACTGTAGGTTACTTTCCACCAGCCCTTGAATGACAAAAACATAACTGCAGAGCAGCAGCTTCAAAATTTGACTACTGCACAAACCTCATTCTTGAAAAATCAAAATATGCAAACCCCCCCCCACTGCCTAAAATTATATTTCTTTCAAAACTCCTTACGTGCCCCTTTCTCTCTTAGCAGAGTCCTGCTTGAGTTGGCCCATCCGCACATAGCTAAACTGTGTTCTTTGAAAATCATTTCCCTTCTAAAATGAAAGGAAGCTGGTGTAACTATAGTATGTTCATCATGCAGCTGGGAAAAAACCTATAAAAATCTCTCTTGTAGTAGACGACAAAGATTTAAACACTGTAAATACCAAAGCACACCGGTGGACACAATCCTGAGCTATTTCCACACACATCTCCTCCTTTAAAATTTATTTCTCATGGATAAATCTTAACATCATTCCCTCATCTTCTAATTGCTCTTCCAGGTGACTGCTATCCAAGAGGTATTCACACCAAAATCCTGGGTACATCATTACTTGTCTCTCCACTTGACCTACATGTCTAGCTTATCATAACCCAGACATCAATAACCTAGTATCACAAGTAAGCCTGTATAAATCATGAAGGGAATCATTATATGATTTGTCTGAAAAATCTACCATTACTTATTTTTTTTTTTTTGGTAAATTTTCTGAATATTTCAAATACTTCTACAGTTTATGACCACCAATTTGGGAACCACTGCACTAGAAGGGTTTGTAGAACAGTTACAAATTAGATGCCATATTATTTCCAGCCAATTACTACACATAACTAGGCTGCACTACATCTAATATTTCAGGCACTGCATACAGTTCTCTTAATTATATGTTAAACAATATTAAAGCAAGACTTATCACTTTTAGGATTTCTGTACCCTTTGTTACATCATCATGTTATTTCAACATGGATATAAATTTTTACTGTCATATACAGTGCAGTTCTTTGGCTTTGATTATCTTTAGTTGATATCTAAATGGCCTGCTGATATGTCATGAATGGAAAGCACCATGAAAGTAAAAACCTTTTACTGCTGAGTACCAGATTTACAAATCTATATTATACCACGGACAAACATGCCTATCAAAATGATTAAATAACATGCAATAACTTGCACATTACCTTATTCTCATCTTTATTAACTGTCCTCCTGTCACGATCTTTCTTATCAGCCTTATTACGTTTCTCCTTAGCCTCTTTGGGCTTAAATCGTTTGTCATCTTTTGATTGTGGTGGAGAGGGCTGTGGATTGGTAGTGCCTGTTAGAATGATCTCCTTCACAATACAAGATGGTGAACAGGGATGAAGAGGGGCAAGGTCTGGCAAGTCTTTTCTGTTCACTGCTGGTGGAGGAGGAGGAGGAGGAATATCATCATCCAGCATTGGTGATGGTGACTGTTTTTCAGGAGGGGAAACAATCCTATTGGGTTCAGAAGCTGGCTTCAACTGTGTATTAATTACTGTGAGAGGTAGTGGTATCTTACGGTTACTTGTGATACCACTCTTTATCCCAAGCAGCTTGCAAAGATCAACAAGGAAATTGAATTAAACATCAAGTTATTACGGAAACACAATGTTATTAAGATTATACTCAATTCATGTTAGGAGACAGAAGAATATAAGGTTAAAGCATTTACAAAAAAAAAACTTTCCTTTAAAATATCCTGGTTAATGGGATACTTCTGACATTACAAGAAACTGCGAGATGATTGTTTAAGTACTTGTGGCAGTGGATGATTCATACATTTCTACTTTGTTTGAATGTTGGAAATTGTCCATATGACATTTCAGTACTTGGATCTACTTTGGTCTTCAGGCCTTTGGTCGTCATTAGTCTTAAGGTGTACTCTCATATCAGTCAATGTGTACCTGTTACTGACATGGAGAAGAATGTGGAATACAATTAGGACCTTGAAACAGGTATCACTCAAATATAGCAGTAGCTGGGAGCAATGTTATATGGAAATCTCTGGTGCAACATGGAATCAAACTTTTCCCCTTTTCCCATCCAGATACGGTATTTATTTTCATTGCTGACTGGACACACTATTATCTGAAACAATGCTGCTACTTAACCACAAACAATATTATGGCTTCTATGCCTGCCTATATGGTAAATAAAACCAAATATATTGTGACTGAGGGGTGTTCCTCATCAAGGTGTTGTGGCATCACGGTATGAGAAACATTACTCCCATTTGTTAATGCACACATTTAAATGGCCTGTTCAGTCCAGCCCCTGAACCCAGAATGACTGTTAGAATAGTGTGTGTACTGGCACCTCTGTCTCACCCACAAATTCCTTCCTAGACACATTCTGAACCCTGTGGAGCACATACTATGTTCACTGTTGGTCTGTCTACCTGTCAATATGTACACATTTTCATGAAATTTGGTATTTGAGAGTAAAGCCATTTTGATTTTAATTTAAACTGGACATGCTTAAGGATGGCTTTACATAATGTCTACACATTTCTGGATCACTGAAGAAAAAAACATTTATAACAAATGTTATGGAGGAAAAATAAGCAGACATTTTATATTAACTGCCTTTTCTCTGCAAGCCTTACAGTTTTCAACAGTAATTAACACAGTATGGTGTTAAACTTTCATATTCAGTAATCGACCATGGCCCCCAGAAGACAATCATAGTTAAGAGATTGAAAGAAGATGAAGAAGAAAAGGAACTCTTTTATGAAGTTTAGTTTAGACTGAAAAAATTGGATTTGTTCCCTTCTTTTGCTGTAGTGCTCTTATCAAAACATGTATCTTGAGCATACATATAATTTTTAAACATGTTTAATTTTTGTAAGATTTGTGGCTTTCACGGCGGTGACTATGAAGAAAGCAGTCTTCTGGGATTTGGCACCGTGTAACCACATATACACGGTGCCAAATCCCAGAAGACTGCTTTCTTCATCTTTTCTTTTTGTCTAGAATATGTAATACCAGTGAACATTGACGGATTAATGCTGTTTATTCATTCAGTAGGCCTATGTACTTTTCTCACTGTTTCTAGTATCATAACCTAAGAGTGAAATGTTACATGTCAATTTAACCTTTATTTATTATAATAAGAGTTCATCCCAGTCTATAATATTTCATTTCTAATTCCTTCTGCCAAACATACACCATATACTTTAACAACACAATTAATTCCTCATTTCAGACGTTTTCTTCAATGGATTGACTTAAATGGAAGAGAAGCTGTGGGTGGAATTATCTTAATTCAATGATACTGCTTTTGTTAAATATTATCCATGCAAGCTAAAACTGCAGACTCTGCACTCGCTGTTTACATTTTTCTTGGAGTTTTACTTCTGTTTATTAGACCCATCTTCTGTAATACAAGGAGGTAATACAACAGTAATACACCCTACCCTGTGAGAGGGACACATGCTACATGCGTCAGCTCGTACCATGAGCATTCAGACTTGCGGCTGTTGACAAGCCAATAACCAGTACACAGCACAATTCCTCCCACATGTCACACTAATAAAACTGAATATCTACCATGAGGCAAAACCTATGCATTATGTACCACATCAACCATAACCTCGAACTCCTGTTACTGTATTTAACATTCAATCAGTTGCATTATTTCTGTGCAAAATGGCATACAAGAGTTACTAGCTGCAATGAGTGTCCATGAAAATAGAAAAGTTAAAAGAAAAAGATTCTGGCATAAATGTCAAGATTTTACCAGTTCCGTTCAGTAAGGAACTACTCATATATTCATAAATAAATTTACAAAAAGGACTGTTACTCGACAAACAAGAACCAAATCAAAATTCTGAGTGTTCATCAAAGATAAATTGGATAAAACTGTTGCTGGGCCTGCACATTCACCTCAAAAACCTCTCAGACACCTTGCACAGGTAACTAGGGTTTGAAGTTTGTGCAGCTTATAAAAATAAATACAAGTGTGAGAGTTTACAGAGGCACAAGAAATGTATGTGTAACAAGAGGGCCATTTCCAGCATCTGCTGTAATCTTGATGGGGTTTTGTTTGTGATTTGTTGGCCTACACACTTGCTTATTTCTCTGGGGGTCTGCATATGAGTAGTGTATGACTCTCTCATAGAAATGGCCAAAAGATTTGCTGCAGGCTCTCAAAATACTTTCCTGTAGTAATAATTTAATTGCACCTGAATATCGTTACTCAATGTAAATGTTTCATGCAATAAATCTATATAAAAAAGAACCTATTTGTTTTGGGACTTCAGCTATTCTGGTCAAAGTTGTTCCAAAATAACATGTATTTTCTTGGAACCCACAAAAAATTATGTTTACCACCAAGAAAGTTTCATCATATAGCTTAATTTTGTCTTACCTTTGCCAAGTTTTGATAGTACTGTCGTTCTGCTTCATCATATTTGCCTTTCTCAAACCAGATTTTTTCATGAACAAGTGGGGAAGTCATAATGGGAGCAGTTACAACTGTAAAAGTTATATTTACATTATCAGTATTTTATACATGTATGTATGTCAGAAAAAGACAAGTGGAACAAATACTAAATCTTGCAGACCATGTTTTATGCCATCCCCACTATGAGCCACTGGTATGCTGTGAATTTTGGGATTTTTATATATTTCTACTTTCTGTCATTGGAGTATGGTTTAAACCAGTGTTTCCCAAAGGTGTTCTGTGAAGTAAAAGTTCCACAAAGAATTCCATTACCACCACCATTAAAGAAAACAGCTACTGAAATATCTGAAACAGTGAAAAGTGTATATGGTGAAGAATGTTTATGTGAACAAGTGTGTTTGAATGGCATAAAAGGTTCAAAGAAGAGCAAGAGTCCTCAGAAGATAATGAATGGAAGTACCGTCCTTCAACTTCCAGAACACAGGAATCGACAGAAATCATTCGAAAGTGCTTGGCCGAAGATTGAAATCTGAGTGCTTGGATGTTAGAAGAAATGACAGGGACCAGTAGAGAAACAGTACATAAGATAGTAGTCAAAGATTTCAAAAAGAAAAAAGTGTGCACTTGTTTTGTCCTTCATTTTTAATGCCAGATCAAAATTACTTTACATTGCATTGCATTTTCTAGGTCCAAAGTTAGTCAAAATGACTGCAGGATGTTGAATATGTCATATAACTACAGAATCATATGTACAGTACAACTGACGTTTTCACATAAGAAAACTCAAAGAACACAGTACTTACACATGAGGCTATTCAAAAATAAATCCACATATATACATCAATACAGTCAACTCATGATATTTATACAACCTTTAAATGGGTGAGTCGTTTTTAGACAATAAGTATTCATCAATTAAGTAGAATGAGTGTGTTTAAGTATCCTTTTAATGCTATTTAAATTGTGCCTTTTCATTCATAAGACTTATATGAAACTTTGATGCTTTCACAGGGAACAAATGTGCTAAAGTCTTCTCAGGTGATCAGTATTGTCAATGCTGAACTAAAAACCAACATTTCAGAGACCTTCTCATGCTCCACCATCAGGGTTGACCTGATGGTGGAGACTCTCTAAAATGTCGGTTTTCTGTTCAACATTGATATACGTGATCACTAGAGAAAATTTTAGTGCATATCTGAAGTGTTATCAGATAAAGCAACCGACAATGGTTGGACATGATGAGGAACTCCTTAAACTATCCCACTTTGAGTTGTTTTTCTAGGTTTTATACTTTGAATTTGGGGATTCTCCTTTTACTTTCTAACATATTAGGTATGGTTTAAACAGCTGTTCAACTATTCCTAGAATTTCATACAGATTTTGTTCTCATAGTAATGCTTCATGGTTCCGCCATAAAACGCTTTAGCAAAGTCAGAGAACATTCCTCCAACGTAGATTTTATCATTACTTGTGTATCATAAGACTTCGCAGTAGATTCTTGGTTTTTCCATCTGGTTATGTTACATAGCCTAATTACACGCCAATCCATTTAACTGTATTAAATGTTACAAACTGTAAGTCCTAACCCCCCACATGTTTTAAAACACGTTGCACTGTATGAGAGCTGGCAACTTACACGTTTTAACGTATATAGTGAAAGACCTACATATTTACACTAAACGTGTAACTGTGATTATACCAACGCAAAACATCACAGAGCACATCACGAATAATGCAGTATTGTTACAAGTATACTGTAACAAAAAATATGTACCTCACTCGACAACAGAACCGTCCTTCGACCTTAACCTACACACCACGTATTCGATGTGGAAGGCGTAGGGTAAGGAGAAGGAAGGGCTAGATGTAAGTCAATGAACTTGAAGTTCGAAAAACTAATGTGTATTAAATACAATTTTTGGCGCAACCATGATGTTCGGTTAATAAAATAATCGTGTCTTCCTCTATTCTTAACTTAAATTTAACTCATAACAAATGAAAACAATTTATTATTACAGTACGAATCCCAATACCTCCGTGGGCGGCAATTTTAAAACATTAAGCAGATACCAAAAGGCATATTGGGAAATTACCTTTAATCCGATTTCGTTCGTTAATCACTTACCAGCAACTTCATAAATATTATAGCATGGTTATCATTATTTCAGGAGACGAGGAATTTGATATTTTAATCTTAGTATTTTGTAAAAAGATAGGATGAGACAACGGTCCATGTCAAGTGGGTCCCTCATCACCATGGCAAGGCGCGTGCTCAGGTTTCAGATGGAGGAGACGGCCTCCAGATATGGAGGGAAGCTGCGAACACACTGAATAAGCAGTTGCGGACAGGCGACAAGGTTGGTCCTCCAGCTTCGGGGTTGGTGTGGGGTTAATAACTCTTCACTGTACACACAGTACAAAAGACACAGCACACACGTAACATCATAACGCATATAAGCCCACACACCACCAAGAATGACGACTCCCATCCACGGGAAGAATTGACAACCAACAACGACTTACGACAATTTGAATTAAATTTTAAATAGTTTAATAGTGATTATTCCAAACATAAGAAGTCTACTGTGGGAAAGTGATAATTCCTGTGCTGCGTATAGCCTATTGGCATACTCAATTATTCTGCATGTTTATGTTTTTATATGAGTGCCATCGTAACTAAAACCTATGACAATAATACGAAACATACATCTGTGAATAATACAACTGAAAGTGAACATCAAACCAGCTTAATTAACAGTGTCTCCTGCCGTATGAAAAATGCCTCTGATGACGATTTTAATTAAACCAAAACATGTAAGGCAAGAATAATAAAAGTGATGTGACCTCTATTGCAGCACTGGACGGAAAATTCTATTAACTTTCTAACTTAATAGGGCAGCGGACCAGAATGAGACAATTCAAAATCAATATATTAGATTTAACGGGAGTACAGTTAGTCTGATGGGACAAGGGTGGCACCAAACCAGCAGGAAAATATACATTTTTCTATGCAAAGTGGAATGAGAATCATGCATTAGGTACAGTTTCTTTTCATACAAAAGAGAATCATATCAGCATTTAAGAGAGTACAGTTTGTTAGTGATAGGATGTCGTACATAACACAACAAGGCCCCTGGTGTGATATCATTATTCTGAATGTTCAGGCCCCAACATGGGATAAAATTTATGATATGAAGTGGAGCTTCTATGGGGAACTAGAATGAGTATTCGCTAAATTCTCTAAATTCCATATGAAAATTCTTTTAGATTTCAATACCAAAAGAGGTAGGGAAGACATTTTCAAACCAACAATTGGGAATGAGATTTTAAACAAAATTGGTTCTGATAATGGAGTTATAGTAGTAAACTTTGCCACATCCAAAACTCTGGATTTTCAAAAGTACAATGTTTCCATATCATAACATTCATAAATTCATAATCGTAGTTGGACATCTCCTAGTGGAAAGACTCACAACCATTTGATCAGATTTTGATAGATAGATGGTATTCAAGTGTACTTGATGCCTGTCTGTTCAGGGAAGCAGACTGTGATATTGACCACTGTCTGGTAGTGGCTAAGTTAGGGAGAGGCTGGCAATGAGTAGACAAATAATGCACAGATTTCATATGGAGAGGTTCAATCTTAAGAAATTAAACAAGATAAAGAGTAAAGAGCAGTATCATGTTGAAATCTCAAATAAATTCATAGCTTTGGAAAACTTAAGACACTGAGGGGGGCATTAAGAGAGCTTGGGAAACTATTGGAGGGAATATCAAAATTTCAGCCAAAGAGATTCTATGTTATCATGATTTGATGAAGGGTGCTAAAAATTATTAGCTCAAAGGAAACAAGCCAAATTGCTGTGGTTACAGGATCCAAGAGAAATAAATGGGGATATCCTGAAGAGTGTAAGATGTGAAACCAGTAGGAATTTCAGGATTACAATGAGGGTATATTAAGGTTCAGGTGCTACTGTGCTTAACTAATTAAGCACTATGCCATGAAGGCCTGGTGAGGGGTTGATGTATAGATCCACGTTTTCTTGAGCTTGGCATTAGCCAAGGTTGCAAACATTTGCATTTTCATGATTTTGTTAAGACTTCTTCCTGCATAATTTTGTTATATAATCATATATGTATGGAAGTTTGAAAGCCATGTGCAAATCATGAATTGTTGTGCACCTTGGAAAATTTCCAATGGTATGGAGAACTTTGTTTTGCACGCATTGTAATTTCAGTAGATGGTTGTCTGCTGCAAATTCCTAGGCAGGGCAAGCATAAGGCATTATGCTCCTCATGGGTGCTTTGTGGAGGGTCAATTTATTGTAGCTACCTCAACACTCGAGACTAAAACTTTACAGAAACCCATTTTTCTATTTCTTTGCATTGGTGCCCATGCACTTTGTTTCATCGGCTAGGTTTGTAGCATAAATTTCTACCTCCTCTTCTATTCTAGTTCCATGACGTGCGTCCTCTATCACAATTTTTATTGCATATTTTCTTGCTACCTCCTGCCGAATTAGCCTGGTCTCAGGCGATTAAATAGCTGTGTGAATCTGACACGGGTGGTCCAATGACTGATATTAGCTCTTTCTAAGGGGACCAACTGAGAAGTGTCTTGCCCCCCCTCACCTGAGGATGGAAACAGATCCAATTTCCAAAATGTTGTGTTTTCTAGAATACCAGACAATCGATAAAGTCCAAAAACCCAGTAATTCTGTGTTACACACCATCACCAGAACCCTTTTGACTCTTCCTGTTACAAAGTAAATCACATGTATGTATGTATGCAAGACATGTAATGTATGAACATTCATTAATTAATTTTATTTAGAATATTTTTATTTTATTTTTACAAAATATGGACAATATTTCAACAATTCTGAACTGCATATATTATTTAAATGTATAATTACAAACTGTTGCTTGGACACTCAAAGTGCACTTCATCAGAGTGGAAAGACTGGCTTCTTGCTTCACATTTGATTCAACTGGAAATTAAAAACAAACTCATCTTAGCAAATTAATTTCATTACACTAAAAATATTCAAGTACAGAAACTATATTCTTCATGCAGTTCCCAAAAACTATACAGATGCATGAAGTGGCAGAAAAATTTTGTACATTCCTTGCTCACATGCATAATGGGGAGGTCACATCTGTTCATCCACATGTGAGATGCATGAATTTTATTGAACCCTGTATTCAATGCCTGCAGTAGAATTTTGTCTGGCAAATATAACTTTGGTACACATTCTATTGATGTCTATACAAAAAACTGAGAATGGGTTATGGATTACTGTGTTGTCACATCACAGGAAGAGGAAATATAACCCTCTTACATTAATGTGTTTCAAACAGTCTACTCTGGCTATACATTTAATCTGAATTCACTAATGTCATCTCTGAGTATGAACTGCTGCCTTCGTTCATGGCTGATGTACATCCCTACCTCTGTACAAGGCCTTTTGCAAAGCTTAAAGCAAGCATTAAAAGTTATCATAACAAACACTAAGTTTCGTAGCCAGGGAACTGTCTGTACCTCAGCTGTTGCTGCTGACAAATACATGGAAACTTTATTCAAATTAAATCCTGCAGCCACTCATGGCACACTGGGGTATTTTCACATGCCCTCATAAGTGCATAAACAGGAGTCATCTATCCTGGAACTTCATGGTCACTGGGGGGAGGGGGACAAGGTGAGGGGGGCAAAATGCTGCTTGCCCTTGCCACCACAGTCATTCTTGGTTCTGATTCTTGCTGTGGGACTCATGACAATAAAATATGGTCAGTAGTCAGACTATCAAGGACACCCAACTTCAAAACATGCAAAAGTCTTGGAAAATGAAAACATGGTCATGGATCCAGATGGGACCTGAAACCAAGAATGACTGTGCTGGTAAGGACCAACAGCAATTTACCTGACCAACCAACTAAAACTCCCCTATGGATACCGACCAAAATTCATTCTTTTAAATCCTGCAATATGCCTCTTGTAAGTAGGGACAAAGACATATGGAAATGACCATACAGCTTGTATAAATGAAGTTCCCACATCTGCTGCTGTTCTGTGTACAGTTGGGACAGCGGATTTTGGCTGGTGGATCTCTGATGCATAGTGGTCTGACGCATGTCGGCGAGCCTAAGATTGGTGGGCTTGCGCAGTGACACTTAGTTGCCTCAGTAAGAAGGTAGACGTTGAGCGCGTAGGATCGCTGTTATTAGTAGATACTATGTGCTTTTCCCACGTTCCAGTTGCCAGTTGACAGTGCCAGCCTACGAATGTTCTCTCTGCAGACGAAGCAAGTTCGTAGCATAGACTCGCTCTCATGCGCTGACAGTGAAGGACACCGGCCAAAAAGTATCGGCAGGCTTATATTCATGGGAGTAGCTTTATATACTCACATGCTGAAGACTTGAAATGATGCAAATTCAGTCTTCTCATGTAAAAACTTTAGGAAAAAAGTGTGTAAGGTATTTTGATATTGTAGCGGGTACACTCATTACTAGGTAACAATAGAAAACAAACGCATCTCCATAGAAAATAATCAACATGCAACAATGGAGGTACTGTTGGAAGTGGTGTTTTCTACAGTGGTCTATGCCAAGGAGTTATAAGCAGGATGAAATGAAGATGAGTTCAGTCGGAAGGGGGCCGCAATTCAGAGAGGACTTGAGCATGGAAGCAGAGGAATAGCCATTGTTAGAGCCATTACCAGGCAACTACTAGTGAAGATACTGTGGATTGGAAAGGACGTAGCATGTTTGACAGTGAGCTGTAAAGTGTAGTCGCAAGTTGTCAGCATCTAAGTGGTTAATAAATCAAGTATCCCTGTCGAGAGTCCCTCAAAATCATGAAAATATATACAATATATAAGAATGTTTCATACCAAATCATCTACATCCATAACATCTTCTTCAGCTACTTCCTGTTCTATAGGTTCTTCATACTGTAGGAACTTCCTAGCATCATCATCAGTAACTGAACTCTTGGCGCTTTCTTCTGAGGAGATGAGACCAAGCTTGGCTGAGCAAAATGATAAATTGCATCAGTCTTGTTAAAAAAACAGCATGTATTTGACCAATTAGCCCTTTAGAGGGACATATGTGAAAGTAGGTGTTTTTTGGCAATATGTAATACATGTCATATTAGCACAGTTAAGAAAAAGAGGAGTGATTACAAATTTCTTATAAAAATTAGTGAAATTGTATGTTCAAGATCCAGCAACGCTGGTAGCTTTCAACCATGAAATTCATTATTTTAAAAGTTCACTTGTAATACCATACTTGTTCTCATAATTTATGTACACCTATTTTTAACAAAGATTTTCTTGGGGGAATTAAATACCATATTTTTAACTCCAACTTTTAGCCATAGATTTTCAGTTAGATATGAAAATATGAGTAACTGATCATAAAGTTTGTGGCTTTGCATGCTGCCAGTTACCCAATTTACAAATTATCGGTCAGAATAGATACACGTCAATTTATCTCAAGAATGCACAACGCTTGATTAACTCATGAAATATGGACTTAGGCCATTGATTTCTGTGGCAGGTAGGTGGTCACAGTCAGTCAGGGTAGAAGGGAAAATGGGTGAAGGTAACAGGCAGTCAGTATGGAAGAACTCACAATCAATGACACCTGTATGCGCTTCGATGCTGTCACATGTGCTGAATATGTTATCAGTATAAGGGGCTGCCAACTCAAAACACTGTGTTCTCAGTCACATCTCACTTTTAATGGTGGTTTGCTACTTTATCTTAAGCATATGAAATCAAATAATTCTGGGCTAAACACATCAAGTTGCTTTCTGATTAGTGCTAACAAATATATTGAGAACTGGAATTATCGACTCCAACATGATTCCTTGATAAACGCTGAGACAAAGATACTGACACATGTCTGGGTGACTGAGACACGGGTTTGGATTAGTAATTGGATTTATTAACAACCTACAAGTCATAACTACAAATAATTATTGCATTCTTATTGATTTACACAGTTTACAATCACTCCACACTAATCTCTTCAGTCTATCTGCACTAGTCTTCACGGATGCATAAAACAGGACCCAATACCACTGCACTGTAGCATGCATATAGTCTTCAAATCACACGTTAAATCCCCACAGGCTGACCTCCTGTACTCTTCTATACACCTAGTCCCAATTCATTTTGCTAGCTTATGAATGAATTGTAATTGTGCTTCTGCCGCACTATTTCTGCTCTCTATGACAAACTCAGAACTCCGTCACTTACTAGTTCCAACGCGCTCACTCGCGTGCTTCTGCCACTATTATTTTTCTTCTCTCTATGACAAACTTAGAACTCTGTACCTCACTTATATAGCCGAGCGACTGACATTGACCAACAGGAAACACATATCATACGACCCCTATCAACTATTGCTCTGTGACGTCACCGCACATGCGCAAGCTGACGGACACGCAGGAAACACATGTCATGTGATGGCCACCTACTGTTGCATTGTTATGTCACTCATCCTGTGCCAGCTTCTTCTACTGTTGTGTGTATCATGTTGCTTGGCAAAGCATCACTCAAATATGCCACATTGCTCCTTCCTTAAAGTTCTTCATCCCGAACAGCCAATCGGTGCATCACCACTCCTTCCTTCTGAAATTTTTGCTCATGACGTCACTTTCCTGTGGCTTGGTTCATCCGCAGTCATCACTCTGCAACCACTACCATAAGGTTGCTTGTCCCGAGCAGCTCCCTTATAAAGTTCCAGTTACTGCAGGTTCTCACCATAATCCAAAGTTGTCTTCCATTTATCAATTTATCAAACCTTGCAAATAATAATACTTACCTTCAACTATGGTGTCCCAGAACACCTTTCTGCCCCTTTCAAAGAGGTTATCCCTGAACTGTACAACCCAGTCACTGTATACTGAAGGATCCTTGGTGACACAGGCAGTCCTTAGCACCCGGAGGGCTGTTTCAGCTTTAACAAAGTTGTTGACACCAAAGGAGTGAATTACTAGATTAAGGATTACCTTCTGCATTTGTCTGCACACTGTAAAGAGAATACACAACTACTGATTCACATAATAAACAAAAAGTTTGGGTACTGTTTTGTAATCCAAACATCCACTTGCATATCTTCCATCACTTGGTTCCCCAATGGTTGTTTATCTTCATTTTTTAAACTCTCAAAGGAATCCAACTGTTATTCATATTGCACTCTTACTTCTTCCTATGTCATCTTTGATTTATTCTGCATTTGAGATTTTCTCTTGCAAATCACTTTTTATAAATTCCATGAACACTTTCCTACCTCTGTGTACCATGATACATTCCACAGTATGATATTCATGTGTATAAGTGCTATTTTAGCTCCTGCAACATAATACTAAATGGTAGGAGTGGTGCTTTTACTGTGCTGGACTGATACTGTAGGGTGGGGGAGGTGATTGCTCAAACAAGAAACAGACATGACTCAAGAATTTTGCTACACTTTTATCACATGGGAAGAGTTAATTTTGCAGTTAATTTCAATCAAATTATCAATAGTAAACTTCCATCATTTACAGCGTCTTTTTTTTTCTGGTTTGGTATTCAAATTCATTGCTTTCAAACATCAAATTTGGATTTCAATGGAAACTTATTATCTTCCTTTCAAGGGTACAAAATGTTGGCATGAGGCATCTTCTGTAAGATGCACACCAGAGCAGACAGTATGGCAAACTGACTGGACAGTGTGGTTTTTCTTTAGTCATTTTTGTTTGCACATGGTGTATCTGTTCAGAAAGGCGGCCTCTGTAGTCTAGGGGTAACGTTCCCACCTCATGACTCAAGGTACGTGGGTTCAAACCGGGCGGAGGTCGTGGAATTTTTAAGGGTGGAAAAATTCAGGGAACAAGTCCTCTGGGAGGGACTTTAAGCCGTGGGTCCCATGTCATAGATTTACAGCACGTAAAAGATCCTCATGTCTCTAGGAGACCTCTGAGCAAAATTAGGCAAAATGTTTCCCGCCCAAGTAGTTTCCAATGCCTCCGGTAGATGGGGAAGTTATCGGGTACCAATGCCAGTAGAGGGCCATCCTCGCTGGCAGAACGGGGAGAGTTATTGGGTACCACTGCCAGTAGAGGGCCAACCTCACTGGCAGAAAGGGGAGATAGCGGGCACCAGTATCGGTAGGGTATGGCAACAGTAGAAATTAAAGGGGGACATACAATAGACTATTAGTCGCGGTGCATGGGGAAACCCACCCCCTCTATACTGAATAACTGAATCTGTTCAGAAAGGATTTTAATCAGCGACTTCCTGTTCAGATGACAGGTCAAGTCAAGCCAAGCCAAGGGTATATGCTTCATAATGAAGGTTAATAATGCACATCTTTGTAAAGCAAGGATTATCTGTCAATATTTCTTTACCTTTAAAATTCATGCTATATATCTAATACCCCATTTCTTACTTTATCATGCAAAACATGCTTTCCATGCTATGATAAATTTAGGAAATACATTCCCATTCTTGTATATATAAGTCTATGACAGTACAGGTAACTTCCATTGCCAAGAAATTATAGTTAGCTTTAACTCTCAACAAGTGACAAGACTGTATTATTATTATTAATATATATTTTCAAACACCAAATTAATTAAAAGAAGTAGCCAATACTTGTGAGCTAGTTATCCAATTTGTAATATGGAAAGGATTACAATTTATTTGGATCTGGTGTGCAGCAAAGATGAAGACCCTGAAATATGTGACTGCATACCCTTGTTGAAATCTTCTCCCCTCCCTAGAAGGTCCTCAAAGTCCTGGACTGGTTTCACCGTTCCCACTTCTACTACTGTAGCCTCAACAAGAGATGCCATGGTCACATCTTTTAAATCAACATTGGATGGTCCTTCCTCAGGTTCATCTTTTGGACCTCTGACAAAAATTAAATAAACAAACAAAACGTTTTAGAAAGAGTTCATGACATCTGCTTCCTTTCTAGTGAGGCTAGGAGGAACTATATAACTGTACACTTTAGAGCCTCACTTCTGTGCATAATTTCAACTAACACAAAGTGTTATGATCAGTATATACATATACAATCTCTTACTTCTTGAAAACTTCAGCTGCTGATTTGTGATTCATCTTTGGTTTGACTTCAGTTAACTGGAACTGCTTTTTTATCTCTTCCACAGCCAACTTATATGAAGGCTTGGTTTCATATGGCGACTTCAACAGATTCATCACATAATCACTGGCAGGTGGTATTTCTGCATTTGGATTCATTGCTCTATGTGCAAGACTGTGGTACACATGTTGATGGAAAGGATTCAGCATGCTTTTTGACATAAATGCCTCAGAGATTTCATTATATTCATTCCTGAAACAAAGCATTTCTAACTATATCATTAATAAAACTGGGTGGTCAGTGAAAGAAAATACATGGACACAGAAACTGCTATTAGCCACAATTTATGATATACTGAAAAGAGATCATGTTTCACATCCATGCATAACACCTGACAAATTTAATGTTTATTTATATCTTGATATATCTCAATCTTTAACATTGCACAAAAAGGATAGGACAATAACAATTTCAAAACTGAATACTATAAGGGAGTTCTTCACCATGAACCTTATTTCTATCTGCTGTTGTTGCTCCCAGACACTTAATGCTCCCTACTAACTTCATCTATAGAAAGTTCTCTTCCAAAATGGACATGTGGGAACATCCCACACACTTACACACTGTTTCACCGGTCTAATAGACAACACTCCCTCCTAGGTCAATATCACATTGCCACACATTCAATGTCAATGCTCGTATTTATACAACACTCANTCCAAAATGGACATGTGGGAACATCCCACACACTTACACACTGTTTTGCCGGTCTAACAGAAAACACTCACTCCTAGGTCAATATCACATTGCCGCACATTCTCGCTGTCCAGCCCACCTTTACCGCATAGCGCGCTATTCAATCAGCGCTCAAAATCGCAACGGCAAGTTTCGCTCTGCCCATCAAGCATGGTATAAAAGGTGGAGCCCAAAGCTCACAATCAGCCAGTGATCGCATTCAGTTCAGAGCGATCGGTCATCAGAGTCATCAGTGCTTCACTGCTACCAGACAACTAACAGGGCTGCCACAGCTCGCCAGCAACCATGCTCTGTGCCCAGGCAACTAACGCAGCTGCCGCAACTCCAGCAACCATGCTTTGCTACCTGCCGCAAGTCTCCAGCGACCACGCTCTGCAACCAGGCAGCTAACGCAGCTGCCGCAACTCCAGCAAGCGTGCTTTGATGCCTGCAACTCTCCAGCGCATGCACAGTGCAACAAACGGCCCTTTTTAGGGCCGCAAACTTTTTGGAGTGGTTGTCTATTGGAAAATCAACAATCCCACAGACACAATGAATTCTGATAGGATTTCAATATAATTTTAAAATAGTTATATACATGGAAACTTAGAAGAACATTTAAATAGAGGGGGAAAATCTGCTTTATATATATATATATGTGTGTGTGTGTGTGTGTGTGTGTGTGTGTGCATGCACGCGCCTCAGTTACAGATCACTAGGCCTAATGTTGGAAGGGAACAAGACGTGGCAAACAGGTTACTAGAATGGGATACCTGAAAGAACTTGCTTTTCTGTTCCTCTAGAAATACCTGACAGTACGTAGATCCATGTTGTCTATCAGAGCATCTACGGAATCCAGCTGCTCCTTTGTTGGTTTATTGATGTCTGAAATGACTGGTGGAAAAACAAATTCTCTCATGTCTTCTGAATAAGGAAGTTCTATAAATACCAGACACTGAAACAGAAGGAAAATGTTATTCTTCCTCTCAGGTTCTCCTCCTTTTAAATGAAGCTCTGTCAGCTGGAAAGCTTATACAGCATCAAAGGGTAGGATGATGAAGTGGTGAGCTAGGAAGGTTATAGAAGGAAGCAATAGTGGTTTGTTTTGAGATATGATCCCAGCAACTGCTTGGAGGGACTGAAGAAAATAATGTCATGTGTAGGGTTGTATGCATGATGAAAATAACAGGTTCTAGTTCAAATGATTGGATTTATTAGCACTTAAGTTACAAGTTTTCTTAATTAATATTGACAGAGTGCTACTGCTGATTTACACACTTTCCGGTCCATTGGTGCACACGCACTGGGATTCTCAGTTTCCACTAGTCATCGCCTAGCAATGGATCCCAACACTGAAATTAGCACTTCATATCACTATGAAGTCTTCTTGCTATTTCGTCTTCAATGACTCTGGAACCTCGGCACTAAAAACTCTTCTGGACTAACTCCTCCAGCTTATGACTGACTTGTAACTGTCCCTGAACTAATTATCACTGCATTCACTTCTCTTACAAGCACTCTGCATAGACCCCACAGAAAGCACCATCTCTATTGTTGATCACATCACTGCTTACGCGTAAGTGTGTTTACTGAGCTGTTGCTTAGAAATCGGTTGCATAACCCCACTGTTTCACCACTGCTCGGTCTGGATGACATAGAAAACACAGCGTCATCTATTGCTGCATGTTGGGCCATGTTTATAGAGCTGTTGCCTGGCAATGCATCGATCAAATAAGTTATAATAATAAAAAATCTTGATCTAGTGAGATTTCTGGGGTTAGGCAAATTTTCCCATCTAATAACTCTGGTTGTTTACAGATATGTGTCAATATAACTGGTAACTTCTGTCCAAGGCTGGAATCCTTGAATGCTCATTTAGAAGCCTAAATGCATGGAAGCATGATCATTCACTTGTCACACCTTGCTGATCATATGGTTGGAACGGATAAGGTTCTGAGGGGACAGGGAAGCAGGCTAAATAGAGTAGTGGAACTGCCCTGCTATTCTATGAAGTCCATCCCAAATGTAACTTCAATTTCACTGTATGAAGGGCATTACTGAAAGCACAGCACTCAAATTTTGTTCACTTTCCAACAGTCTCCTCCTCTCTCTCACTGTCCACGTTAATCACTGCAGTGCTGAACTCTGGAAACATGTAAAGAACTCTGATTTCCCAGTGGTAAACTGCTGAAGTGATTGATACTGAGTCTCCTGAAGAGATTCTTCAATATTTAGGAAATGTCTGAACTCGAAAGAGTAAGGCTGGTGTGGGAAATCAACTCCTGATTCAGTGAGAAATAAAATTCATAGTACAAAGTGTTGCAAAAGACAAACCCAAATGTATGGTTTCCACACTGTGATTGACAGCCAAAAAGAACTAAGGTTTACACAGGGAAAAATACAATTCTATAGGTATAAGCCCCAGAAGTGTTAAGTTTTGGTAGAAAAAGTTTTCAAACAGCTACACCAATTTTTTAAATGCAACTCATATAACTTAAATCTACACTCTACATTATTCTTTCGAGAAACAAAATTAAAAGTTGATTTTCTTTTCATTCTTGAGTGATGACATCATGTTGTGATGGTGTGGTTCATACACGCTGGACCTGGGTGGTATTTAGTCACTTTGCCTTGAAAGTTCTTTGAAATATTGGCAAACCAGCCCACCACAACAGGGTATTCTCACTGCAGAATGGAATCAATGCAAGCCCAAACACTATAGAATATTCAGTGCTTAGCACCATTTATACGTTGAAAACTTCCAGAAATCTTACCTCATATTTAGATGATACTCTTGGAAAAAGAGCACCAAGAACAGCAGCTGTGTTGACACGGTATACTTTTCTCGCTATGGCAACCAGCCCTTCATCGTTCAAGGCGTGAATGAGGGAGGAGAGAGCAACTTCTGCCGACTGTGAACGTCAAACGAAGATGTGTGGTGTGATCAAATAGTTTTTGTACTGTCTGGAGTTATTTCATAACTCCTCTGCTAGGTGGAGGTGGAGTAGAAGCTGCTGAGTCATTTAATGTTCATTCCAAATTTATAAACTGTATCACTCATAAGTAAAACCCTGTGAAGTGAGGTTATGTGTTGTGCCCTCGGCAATTTGTGTTATATGAAAAAGCAGCACATTTCAAAGAACAACACATGTGCATCAAATCCTGTTTAAAATTGTGATAACCAATGATAGGAACTGCAGGTCTTCTGACCCAGTTTACTTTTGCTTGTCAGTCAACAGATGAGGCAAGAATTTTGCAGAAACATCTCACATTTTCAGATCTTGTGTCAAACCGCTTTGGCATGACCCAAATGATATTCCCACCTTATCAGCCAAGACACAGAGAGTGATGCAACTGTTTTCATGGAACACTTTCATTCATTCCGCTCATGAGTGGATATCCTGAATGTTCAGCATTGTTAAATCATTTGAAACATGACAGTCATGAAAATAATGTTTAGGAACTCAGTACCTATCAACAGACTATACACTGCACTTCTATTAAAGACCAGTCAGTTAATGCTGCTTAAAGGAAACACCCACTGTTCATTCTCGGGATAATACAAAACCCTAAATATGCATAATGCAGAGTTTCTTAATATCAAAATATATAGTACATATAGTTACCACTATGCTTTAAAGGTAAACTGATATCTAACTTTTGACCTTGGAAAATCAACTGAATGTTTGGGTTCTACTGTATCCTCTCCAAAGGCATATCTACAGTTCTATATGTATAATACAAACTCCGTCATAAATGCAACACTTTATTGTAGTTCTTGTCCCCCTTCTTTCACACTACATGTTTCGGCCACAACCGGGATCATCAGGCATATTTTACTTCACGTAGCTGTCACACTGCACTCAATATTAACATTTAAACTCCAGATTTACAATTGTTCATTGCTCTGTTGTCAATCGGCACTCGATATTCCAGAAATCCCCTTGTCGGTTTTGTCAATTATGTTTAAAATCTTCATTAATATTGACTCATCGATTGGTTTAAAATTTTAAATTCTCAATTTAAACAAGAATAAAGTGTTGCATTTACGACGGAGTTTGTATTATACATATAGAAGTGTGGAATGTAACAGGATGCTTAAATATACTATATCATGTCTACAGGTTTCTGTAGTTCTGTCTAGTTAGAAGCAGAATTTGATGCCTCAGCAGTGTTCTTTTAAATCTTTTATTTTTTTTAATACAATGTAAATTGCAGAACACACATCAAGTAATTTCACTGCACAAAGTGTCACTTCTGTGTCACATGAGCTACAACTGCAAAATGAATGCAAAAATGACTTACAGACTCTACTCTACCTGCCCTTAGCAGAGGGATACTGAATCAGCAGCAGTATCGCCTTGGAACCAGTCCAACAACTATTTAATCACACCACACAATGGACATGAATTAAGAATGTAGGTCAGAATTTTCAACCTTTGAACTACCACAGATTAAGTTCTGCTGCACTGGGTGTGCATGTGGCAAGGATGGGGGAGAAAACAAATGGATACAAAAAGATAGGGACCTCTTGGAAAACAACAGGCTGAAGACAAATGAAACAGTAAGATAGATCATAGGGAAACAGGCTGTAAGAATGGGAGGTCACTGAATGGGTGCAGGACCATGTTCAGCAGTAGTTTCTGGCGTTGAATATTTGGATTGTTACCTGAAATTTAGTTGCTTAGTTTACAAAAACAGCAGCAGCAACAACAACGATGACGACGACAACAACAACAAAGAGAGAAAAAAGAAGAGGGAAAAGGGAGAAAAAAGAAATAAAGAAAAAGAGAAAGGGTGTGACAGTCCAAACTTTTACAACTCTTCAATGGACGCTATTGTCCTCTTTAGCCATTTCAGTAGAGTGACTGATTTATTGGGGAGACCGATCCATTAGCATGTTATGACTGCCTTGTTTTGTTACCTGTAGCTTGGGTGACCGAAAAGGGTCGAGGCCACCATGAAAGGCAAGTCTGTAGTTTGCCGAAGATGTAAGTTTTGTTTTGCTGATAGGTAGCTGTGATAAAAGTGTCTTTGGAAGGGTGTAATTGGACCCTAAACTAAGAAATAGCCACTTTCACATGTGGGGTTCCGGGTTCAATATCTTTGGATCTCTTTATTCTCAAAGTGCGTTATGTGATTGTCTAGTGTTGATTGTATGATGGATTTGGCAGTTAAAATCAGCCAATAGGAAACTATTCTTGTCTGGAGAAAGGCCGTCAATTCAAATCCTATACAGGGGATGAAGCGACGCTCCCGCAGGATAGAGTTGCAGGAAGAACTTGGCGTTTAGAATTCATCAGAGGCAGACGTCATTGGGCTGCACTCTCCAAGTTTACCTAAATTTATCAGTCTTTATTTGGTTCGATTAATCTTTGATAATAATAAAAAGGGCACATTACTCCGTACTTGCTACTAAAGTTATAATGTTTGCTTCTGAAATAAACAATTTGTGGAGAGCAGAAATAGTGTTTTTGATTTCTATCAGTGGACTAGCTTTAAATGTGCAGTTTTCCCGTTGCCTCAGTTATTACCGTGACATGGTCCTGAAAAGAGTCAAGTGTTCTACCGAAGCAGGCAAATAAATACAAATAGAAAGGGGATGGTTACAAGGGGAGACATATCAATTTAAGCAAATTCTAAGTATGGGTGTTTTGATGGAAAATTGGACCACATTTTGGCAAGTAACAGGATAATGGAAGTAAATATTAAAACAGGTTTTAGACATATAAGTTATCAAAATGTGCTCTGGATTTAACTGGTTCATGATGGAGATAAAAGGGATAAACTTTCAGATTTCATTATGTAATATTTGAAACTTTCACGGTAAATAAATGTGCTGAAATCTTGTTAAGCAATAAGCCGTGTCAATGTTGAGTTCAAAAGCAACCTTTCAGAGGTCTCCTGTGTCTCTATCATCAGGGTCAATGTCACCTTGGCCATGATGGTGGAGGAGACCTCTGAAATATTGATTTTTAACTTGACACTGATATGGCTGATGACTTGAGAGAATTCAGTGCTATAAATTCAACACCAACAGGCAATTTTTCAAACACCCGAGTAGCTGAAGTGCATAATTTATATATATTGTACTATTACTATAACATGAAAGGTCAGGAGATAATCCCTGACAGAGGTACCACATCCATATCAGTTAAGACAACATTGTCTTATTTGACAGACACCAAGGACCCTTTCGTTTGACCAATTCCATGTGGTACTGACAACTAGAACACATTCAGCTTTATCTCTGTGCTGTGTACACACCTTCATGGCCATGAAGCTTCCATACTTACACTGTCTCCCTTCTGAGCCATAATGTACAGGACACCCTTTCCCACAAACAGATGTCTTGGAACATTTTTCAGCTTAGTGAAACCCAGAATGCTGAGACACTTGTCTCCAGACTGGTAACTCATCATGGATTTGTCAACAGCTGAAAAGCAAAAAAAAATTTAATTTAATGTTAAAATTTGGAGAAGATATTATGAATAAAGCTTGTTATATTTAGTTAAAAAACTGTCAAACACTAAAAATTTGGCAAACAATTGCCATTTCTTTTGTATCACTGTGAAACATGGTCTCTTACTCTAAGGGAAGGACATAATCTACATGTACTTATACACTGTGCTCAAGAAAATATTTGGAGAGAGATGAAGGTGGCAATTTTGGATGTTACACAACAGAGAACTTCATATTTTCTGCAGTCTCCCAATACTGTTGGTAAAATCTAGAAGCTTAAGAAATACTTGGTTGAAGGAGCCAAGAAATATAAGTACAGAACTCTAGTTAAGGAAATTTATTGAATAATAGCTATTTGGAAAACCAAGAAGGTGTCAGGCAAACATTAAGATGGAACTTGGGGAAATTGGTTGTGATGAGATGTGGAGGAAACTAGCTCAGGATTGTGTTCAATAGTGGACTTTGCATACCAGTGGTACAGAACTTCTGCGTTCAGTTACCGGAGTGTTATGGAAGACAGGTGGCCCTCTTGAACTGCAGGGTGTTCAACAATTACTGGCCCATCATTCTATTTTAAAATTCATGACATATGTTTCCATCCAACATCAGCTGTTGGATTTTCATTTAACAAACACTTCTTGCACAACTGTCACCTCTACTTCCCGATTAACTCAAAGATGAGATGGGCAAGGCATGTAGCACATGGTGATTCAAAATCCTTGTGTAACATGAATTCCAAAAATACCTGAGAAGGGCACCAGGGTGGAACCAAAGCTGAATCCTTCTATGACATCTTCCTTGTCAATAACTGTCTGATTTTCATCTTGTCTGATGTATGATGTTTCAGACTCAACTCGGGCTCCTTCCTCTACAGCGGATGTAGTTTTCCAAGAAGATAACGTAGCCGGAGTTATCTGTTTGCACACAGGTTTATATTCATTCAACAGAAATGGACCAAAGCAGAGCAGAGTCTAGGGCTTGAAAACAGCAAAGCATAAGAAAGAACAAGTAGATCAAACTCCATGAAGACGAACCTTTCGATAACCTGACACAGCTATTCTGATGTCTGGTCCAATGTCCATCACAACATTCCATGGTGTAGGATGAACATTCTTCTTTAGGAAGTGCATTAACTGTGGTACAGCATCAGCAAAACTACAGATGACACCACCTGTCTAGTTTGGTTAAAAATAGTATTGTAACAAAAACATTTATAAAATAAACAAGAATGACAAATATTCAAAGCCTCTATAAGTATTATAATCAGATGCTACAACACAGGAACAGAAAATGTGATGTAGTTTCTGCCTTTTATATTTCCAGTGGGGCATGAGAAAAGACTAAAATATAAGATAAGAAGTAAACTCAGAAAAAGAGAATGAGAAAATGGCACCAATAAAAAGGCAGAGATGGAAATAAGTACATATTAAAAACAAAATATAAAGACAGCCAGAGAATAGGGGAAGAATGAGATTAATGACAGCAAAAAGAGAGGAACTGTTTGAAAGAAGAGAAGTGACAAACATGGACAGAAAGAGAGGCAAAATGACTTAAGCATAATGGAATAAACGAGTGTATCCCGATGAGATCACTGGATTTTTTTCAACTGACTAATCCTTCCAGCCACACTATGGCCCTCAGCCTCTAACAGAAATGAGTACCAGGAATATTATTGAAATATGCTTGGGGGTAAAGGGTGGCAGGGACATAAGGCTGACAACCTTGCTGCCATCTATGAGCCGACTGTCTAGATAATGTGGAAACCTCAACATCTCACAACCCTATGGGTCTCCATGGCCTGTTAGAGGGATACCGTTACTTTTTACAATGGAATAAAATAAAAAGGGGATATACATAGAAGGGCAAAGGAAGAGACAACATAGAGTGAGATATAACTGAAAAAAAAAAACAAGGAGAGGAAGAAGACCAATTACATCAGAAAATAAAGTAACTAAAGGAATGTTATATTTTAGTGTCCTGTTGCACTGATTTATGTCCATGATTTATTCCAGCCGTCTTACAGTGCATACACTCATCCACTCATCATGGATGAGTGTATGCAGTGTAAGACGGCTGGAATAAATTAACTAAAGGAATGTTAGAAAACATCAATCACTCAAAAAAATGCCTTGCAATCATCTATAAAGCATACTACTAGTAACCATGAATCACTTAAAATCATGTTTTATTTGGTAGCAAAATAATGGATACCTAACCTGCAGTTTCTGCCTAGTGTACGATCAGCAAATTGTTGTATCTTTAATAAGATGTGTGTACCAAACTACAGTAGATCTTTACATTTGCTACACTTCTCATTACTACAATATTTAAAATATTACCTCTTTAAGTATGTGACTCAACAATGATTCTCCAACTAATTGTTGTTTAGTTTTCGATTTCTCAGCATCAGTACCATTAGTCCAACACTTTGTTTTATCATCATCATCATCTATGGCTTCGTGCTTGACATTAAGGTTTATATCTGGTCCTCTGAAGACATAAAAGAGCAACCACCATGACTTTCAAGACACAAAGAAATGTGTGAGATTTCTCAGCTGAATTGCAGGAACTAGCTTTCCCATGCCTACTCATGCTCCTTTCTTCACAGGCTGTTTCCAACTTCCATCTAGCATGGCTATCAGCTGAGTGTCCTAGATGGCTGAGCAAGTTAAAGCACAATAGAAATGTGTGGTTCTGAGGCCTAACAAAGTTTATTGAAGGGACAAAAATGGGTGTAATAAAGATGATCCAAGATAAGAAACTTCATGACTGTGGTTTCATGGAGAAGGGCATGCAGAAGATGGTCCCTATACTGAACCTCCTATTAACCCTTTGAGTGCTAACATCCCTGTGGACGGATATGCGAAAAGTGCTATGCCATTTAAATAATATTATGTGCATATTCATAATAAATTTTACTCACCCCATTTTTTGAGTCAGGAAACTGGAAAAAGTCCCTGTTGTTGCCAGACGAATTTATATTGTTATGCTGGAATGATTTTATTTCTATCACAGCACATTATGAAAATAAAAAAATATTTTTGATACTTTTTCTTAAAAAGAAAACGAAACCTTGACTTTCAAGAATAATATCAACATCAAATAATTGAAAAAATAATAATCTATTGCTGTTGTCTGATAGATCTATTCATTTTATATATGATGTTAAAATTTGAAAATTAAACACCAAATAGTTTATTCATAGTATCA